AATAAAAAGAAGTCACTTCTATGCTCGCGAACGGTTAATTTAGAAATTCCGAAAAGGTTGTTAAAGGTGTATGTTTGGAGCGCGCCGCTGTAAAGGAGAAGCGTTCAAAATGCAGTGTTACGGGCGAATGATGAGGACTCCGTGGATACAGAAAAGATAAGAAATGAAGAGAAATTAGAAAAAATAGGAGAACATTGGACTCTGTAGAAGTCAATGAGAAATAGGCGAGTTAGGTTGGTAGGACACCTTCTCAGGCATGAATGTATTGTCAGAGACATATTAAAGGCAGAAACGGGAGTTAGGAAGGGTATAGATAGACCTAGATTAGATTACCGTTCGCAAATAGTTACTGATGTGGGTTGTTCTAGTTTTACTGAAATGCGAAGATTAGCTCAGGATAGAAAAGAGTTGAGGTGCGTGTCCAACCAGATAACAACTGAAATTTCATTACTGAAACAATATCGAGAACCAATTTTTCAGATTGACAATATTTAAATATAACATATACCTAAGTGATAAATATGATTAAATTATTACATTATAGTAGTCCATAGTTATCTTGCCAATACAATCTTTCCAAATTGATCAACTTTTTGTTGCAACTTTTGAAACTGTGTACCTACGGGGTATATCATGAATTTGTATACACAGCATCGAAATGGTGTCCGTCGCATCCACCAAAAATATTTTTTTTAAATATGTTTAGTTTCATTAAATAAAATATAACATAAACATAATTCATATCCATCGAAAGAAATTTAACATTTTCTATTGCGGAAAGTGAAAGAAAAATGATTTTTAGCATACCTACCCCTACCGAAAGTACGATGTTTTTCCCTGATTTCGGAAACGAAATCGCAACATTCTCTCCCGGGAAAGAAATCGTGTTTACTCCTTATTAGCAAAGGATTTTACCATATTTTGCGTGGCTTCCAACCCCGTCTCCCGTTTGGATGAAATTTCTACGCGAAGGATGTTAAAGTACTTTTCTAATAAACACTAAAGAATACGTAATAAATTTCAAATCCAAACGATAATTCAACATTAATCGTTCAAAGTACTTATTGATAATAAAGTTACCGAAGTTAAGAGAGTTAAAAACTAATGACAAGTATATATTATAAAGTGATTTTATAGTCCACTATGCGTTTAATTTAAAAGCAGAGAGCTAGTGATAAGATCCTTGTCTTTGTTAAGAGAGCTTAATCTCCTTTGTTAAATAAACATACTTTCAAAACTATCAAGCGGGTAATTATTTATAATTTCCTNACTATGCGTTTAATTTAAAAGCAGAGAGCTAGTGATAAGATCCTTGTCTTTGTTAAGAGAGCTTAATCTCCTTTGTTAAATAAACATACTTTCAAAACTATCAAGCGGGTAATTATTTATAATTTCCTTTAATAAAGTGAAATTATCTGTATTGATCCTACGACATTCAGTAAGAGTACGTTCTCCATAACCTGGCTCAGCTAAATGCTCTTTGAACCTAACGTGAAAAGAGCGTCTAGTTTGTCTAACGTATTTCTTAATACAGTTTATTCGTAATACTATACAAAAACAATTCCGAAGTAGGTATTTGGATTAGTAGAACTATTACGTACAGGACATCGTAAAGCCGTGCAAGGTACTAGTACCATCTACTTATGTATACTTATGGCGAAAATGTACCAACCCACCCATAAAGCAGCATAATATATCTACACTTGCCGAGTTTCGTTAATAAAACCATTTTGCATGCAACTCGTTCAGTTTCACTCTTTGTTGTTATGAAGGCGTCATTCAAGTTGTTTTACATTGTAACAGGTTGTCGTTGAGTGGCACTTGTCGCGCGTTATAACAACAATAACAGTAACAGGTCTGTACTGAATGTATGAATGTATCTACATAAGCAGGCTTACCAACCTACATTCGATATCGCGAATACCGATTCGGCGGTATAACAATTGCGTGTTATAGACGTAGATTTACTATAAACTTTGTAATTTCGTCATATTTAGATTTAAATAACTATGCATTGATTAATTATCGATTAGAGTGGCGTTAAATTCAAAATTTGTTGGGGTATCTTGCGTTTTTGGCTAGAGCGAGATTTTTCTCGTCTCGGAAAAGCTAGACGAGACTTTTGGAAAATATTATGGGCGATACCGAGACCGCATACAGCACAATCCGAGAGTCTCGTTTTCGGTCTCGTTAAATTCTTTTTATGAAGTTTTTATTAAAAAAATTAAAAAAGGTCTACATAGAGAACAATATATTTTACAAAATATAAAATCTGGTAACGATCATGAAATAATTTATTGTAAATTAAAAAAAAAAAAATGAATAACCGTGTATGAGTTTTCCACATTTTTACTCCAACTTGTTAACTCTTTGTATAGTAACATAACTGTTATCATTAATATTTATCCTTGCTGATTTTGATATTTTAGGTTTAAATGACTTTTTAAAAGATCGATGGGTCATCTTACTCTCGGTTGAGTATATGTGTCTATAAACTAGAGAGTAATTAACGTACTTATATACTATTGAAAGAGTTTTTTTTGGCTCCAAATTTTTTACCTGGAAGATCCTCTTTATTTACTAGAGTAAGAGTGTGTAAAATTAAAAAATATATATACATATAAAAATCAATAAAAAATAGGCGAGATAGGTTGGTAGGACACCTTCTTAGGCATGAAGGTCTAGTCAGAAACATATTAGAGGCAGAAACAGGAGTTAGGGTAGAGGTAGACCTAGATTAGATTACTGTTCGCAAATAGCTAACGATGTGGGCTGTTCTAGATTTGGGGTAATGCGAAGTTTAGCTCAGGATAGGAAAGATTGGAGGTACGTGTCCAACCAGTCTTAAGACTGACGACCCTATGATGATGATGATATAAAAATATTTTTGTATAAAAACGTAATAAATATAGTTTTATTNTAGTTTATATAATATTTATTATCGTTATTTAGAATTAAGCAAGATGAGGCCAGACAACTAATAACGAGACGAGACAGAGAGAGAGAGACAAGACATAATTTTTTGGAAATTGACGAAACCGAGACAAGATTTTCGATATTCTCGCCTACTCTCGTCTCGTCTGAAGCCCTATTTTTGGCAGTATCACCATTGTTAAAACTGTTTCGTGTCAAAGGGAGAGTTGTAAATAAGTGAAACTTTAAAATTTTTAAATTTATCCCAAATGGATAGACCTGGAACTATAAATTGTTAGCGAAATACATACAGAGCAAAATAAAAAAAATTTTAAATATTCTAAACGTTTAATTCCAGTTATTGTTTTGATTAATGGCCATTTTGGTGAATCGACCCGGAATTGATTAATAAACATATTATAATAATTCTGCATACTACTACTTTCAGAAGAAATCAAATCAAATCTTTTACTTCTGCCTTATTTTCATATAGATAAAGACCTTTACAAATTCACAAAGTGAGATACATTTTAATTTTTGACTCCAAAACGTGTAAAATTATGAAACTGGGAGTGTACCTACCACTCATCTGTACCTTACTGCATTTGTGTGCATATATAGAAATCGTTTATATAGGGATAAGGTTTCCATTTTGCATAATAACTGGTAGTGCTGATAGAATCAGAATATAAGAAACTTTACATCAATAGGAATGGAGCAACAATGAGAAATTGGACGATAAAATGTAATGAGATTGCCGGATTACTCACGCACTGGTATTTACTCATAACCGAACAATAGGTACTAATACGGGTAACAACGATCTGAAAAGCTTACGAGTTTTTTCTGGAAAACGAGTTATCTCCGGAATTATCAAACCGTTTTTCCGATTCTGTTGAAATGAACTAAGAAATAAAGTATTTCATTACCTACGAATATACAATAAAATTTGAACCTTATTTATATAGAAGGAAATTCTTCAACATTGTACAAACAGATTTACTTTTAGCCTATCAATTTAAGCTAGAAATGTGCCAATGAAAAGAAAAAATAAAAATAAAAAAGGTATGGGATACCCTAGACAAAAATTTTTAGTCTCTCTCCAGTCTCTCAGGGTCTTTCAGCGTCTCTAAGAGCGTCTCTCACAGTCTTTTACAGTCTCTCAGTTATTGCCTAGGTGTTTTTATGGATCTCTCACAGTCTCTGTATGAGAGACTCCAACGATAGAATTGTTAATTCAGAGATTCGAGTCTCTCACACTGAGACTGAATGAATAAAACTGAAAAATTGAGAGACTCGAGTCTCTCGTAGAAAGACTGGGATCTCTGAAATATGTTGAAATTGAAGAAAATTTTAACCATGTCTATCGAAACACCACTTATTGAGAGTCTCTCGTTCAGAGATTCGAGTCTCTCTTTCAGAGACTGGATACTAAATGAGGATCTCTCTATGAGCGACTCGAGTCTCTTGGTCAGAGAGACGCTAAACAGTTTTTTTAACAGTTTCTCTCAGCGATACTAGAGAAACTCGATGAGAGACGGAGACTCGAGTCTCGCTTTTAGAGACTCTGAGAGACTGAACATTTTTATCTCGGGTAGGCCCGGAATCAGACCCTGACTGGCATCTAATTAATATTGACTGCTAACTGAACTATTGCAAATGCTAGACAAGGGTCTTATTACTAATGAGGGTGTAATTTAGTTGGAGTACTACTTACTTATCTAATTGATTCGAAAACGCGATGGTGCTTATAGTACGTGAAAGACAAGTAAACAAATTAAATTAGTAAGGTCCTCGTCTAGCATTTGATACACTTCAGTCAGCAGCTTATCTCAGTAGATAGAGTTAGATATTTTCTATACCAAGACTGTCCAACCCCAGACCCGCGGGTCACATGTTGCCTACAAACAAATTGTAAATGGTCTGCGTGAACTAATTTCAAAAATTCTCGTCAGTTTGAAAGAAAAGCTTAATACTGCCACAATAAAGTTTATAGTACCTATTACGAAACTAAAATTAAAAGTTTGTTAACTATATTAATAAAAAATTATGTTAACAGCAAAAATAATATTTTTTTTCTGTTTCAGCGCCATTTGACCAGAGTACTGAAATGGAAACATACTACCCTGGTAAGTAAAATGAATATTTTGTGTTTTCCGAAAAATTAAAGGCGATTATTATTTGTCAAATCAACTAAATCTTTTCGTTTCACTCGACTTTTAACTTTAACGAAAACGATTCTTTTTTTTAAATAAATAATCTCTCTTTTCGCTAACTCTTTTTCCTTTCTTTCGTAAAACAATAGTAATATTATTCTTTTCTTGTCTGCCATTAAAAGCACAGTCTTCTGCGGAGCATAAGTGTTTAATTGATTGGATTATCCTTTTTAATTAATAACATAACTTAAATAGAGCATACATTTAGACGATGAAAACAATTAATGCATTTATATTGATCACAAGCGTATACCTAATTAATGTCACTTTATCAATAATTTAAAATGTAATTAATCAATAGTAGCTTGCGTTCAGAATTGCAGTTAACACCTTCCTAACTTTTTAATGATCAATTACTGTAAAAAAAAAACAAACCGATATGTACTAAAAAGGCGTTTATCACGTATTCGAAAAAAACTTGTATGAGAATTAAGTATTTATGTGGTAAAAATTTTGTGCTACAAAATGAATTACTTCATTAAAAATTTCAAAGTGTGGGGTGTAATACGAGACAGGTCTCACGCCAACACCCCCTCAAATAAAAAATTATTAAAATAAGTTTTCGCCACTCTGGATTCATGAATGCTTCAGAATTAGGTCAGAATTCAATTCATCATCATAAGGTCGTCAGTCAGTTGGGCACGCATCTCCACTCATTGCTATCCTGAACTAATCTTCGCATTTCCCTAAAACCAGAACAACCCATATCCTTAACTATTTGCGAATAGTAATCAAATCTAGGTCTACTTCTATCCCTGCTAACTCCCGTTTCTGCCTCTAACATGTCTCTGACTAGACCTTCATGCCTGAGAAGGTGTCTTACCAATCTATCTCACCTATTTTTTATTGAATTCCATGGAGTCCTCTGTTCTCCTATTCTTTCTAATACCTCTTATTTTCTAACCTTCTCTATCCACGGTGTCCTCATTATTCGCCGGTAAGACCACATTTCAAACGCTTCTAACCTTTTATTTTCCGCCGCGCCCACCGTCCATGTTTCGCACCCGTACAGCTCCACGGTCCAAACATACACCTTTAGCAATCGTTTTCGAAATTCTAAATTAATCGTCCACGAGCATAGAAGTAACTTCTTTTTATTGAAGGCGACTCGACCCTGCGCTATCCTCTGCTTTATATCCCTACTACTCCTTCCGTCCTGACTTATCTTACTTCCTAGATACCTAAAATTAGTCACTTCTTCTAATCTTTGGTCTTCTATCGTTATATTCACTTTTTCTCTACTTTTTCTTCCCTTGCAAACCAATATTTTTGTTTTACAATTATTGATGTTCTTACAATACTGTTCTGTCAAAATTGCTAAATATTTTTAATTCGCTTTGGGTCAATCCCTGCACCCTTAACAAGCATTAAAGATACTCGAAGTCGGATGGAATGAGAGCACGAAAATCACTTCTTGACCAAATTGAGAGCACCTAAAGAGCACGTAATTCCTGCGCTTTTTAATTATAGATCTATGAAAAGAAGCGATTTCAAACGGCAACTCCTTACAAACTATGAAAATGATACAAGTTGGGTGGTACCTTTTCGAGCATGAAAATTAAGTATTGACCACTTTTGGTGCAACACTGGTTTCTATAACAGTGTAGCTTCCAAACCTTAAGGGTACCGTTTTGAAACAAATGATAGTACATATGACATTTTAATTGTTGCAAGTAACATGACAGTGACCGACCCCTTAGATATAATTCGAACATTTCTGATTGTTAACAATTAGTAATGTCACTCATGCATGAGGAATGTAGGCACTTTAATCATTTAAACGAAGTTGATGTATATAAACCGAGTCGTTTATCTGATGCTTATACGATGGTAATTATTTTGTCCAAGCTGATAATTAGAGTCGTGCTGATCAGTTAATTACTAAGTTTATTTATAGGTATTAGTTAAGTAATCGCTTACTATCGAGATTTGCTACATCGTTAACGGTAATCAACAGAAGGAGATTAACAATTCTTGCCGGCACGGAAAACTGCCTGTTTCATGTACGCTCTCTTATATTTAATTAAAGTTATTATGGGATCCGTATTTGTATTTCGTTCGGAAAATTCCCATAAAAATACACAATTAACAAGGTACATACGAGTACATTCATTAAAATGATAATATAGGTACCTATACCCACATTACTCTCCCAGATACAAGACAACTAAATCAATTAATAGAACTGCAAATAAGAACTCTGCAAAAATAGAATGTGCAGAATGAGGAGCTATTAAAAACAAATAGGAGAACAAAGGTCACTATCAAGGCCGTAGCTAGAAATATTTTTCTTTTTTGAATAATAAAATTAAAAATTACTTTGCCAGGAATTGCATTAATAAAAACAAAACAAAGTAAATAATGAATTATTACAAATTATTGTAAACAATAGATTAATGATATCAAAGGATTAAGTTTATTCGTCTTTCTTATTTTTTGTGCAAAAATATGAAGTATTTCATTGGTTGGTAAATTAATATCACGGTGTCGACGCTTCTTAGAGTTGAAAATATACGCTCTGGTATGCACGTTATCACTGTAGTAGCAAAAATATTTAATAATAGGAATATATTAGGATAGAAATCTGAATTACACTCTCTCAGAGCTTTAATTGAGCATGATGGACGATTTACTTTGTCTTATATTGACCAATAAGATAAAGCTACACCAATTTTTGAAGTATCTATTCATACTTTGAAAATAATATTAAGGATTTATAATGCTCTTATTTTCCTTAAGTTTATGTTCAGTAATATCTTATCTAGAGTCCTGCAAGTTGAATATGCATTAGGAAAGTTTTGACTATTACCTTTTCGCAGAAAACAGCAATTTTTTCATTCGTACAAAAATTGGAGGGGGGGGGGGGTTATCCCAATAACACCCCCTGTTAGCTACGACTTTTGTCACTATGGAAGTCAATAAGAAATAGTTAAGGATGTGGGATGTTCTAGTTTTAGGTAAATGCGAAGATTAGCTCAAAATAGGAAACAGTGGAGGACTGACGACCTTATGATGATGATGATGATGATGATGTAGGTCTTCGTTAATTAGTCAAACGAGATTATAATAAAGACATGTTTTGGAATCTAGTAATGACCAAAGGAAAAAATGTCGAAAAATAATTTACTCAAACCTTGTAACATATTTTTCTACGCGCTCTCAGAGTACGAGGGTGGATTGATAAGTTTCCGGCCTAACCAAGAGATGACGCCACTAGGCCTACCTTGAGGTGACATTCTATAGTACCATCCTTGGATAGCTTGTAGCTATAGTTTCAGCCCGATCTCCTTGCTAGTGTAGGTTTGACAGCACGCTGAACAAGACGCCTCTGTGGTTTTCGTAAAAATGGAAAAGCAGGAAAATCGTGCTGTCATCAAATACTTTTATTTGAAGGGGTTAACGCCGAAGGAAATTAAAAAAGAGATGGACTCAACACTGGGGACATCCTCCCCGTCATATTCAACCGTTAAGCAGTGGGTTTCCGAGTTTAAAAAGGGTCGTGTGAGCACCTCTGATGGGCCTCGCTCAGGACGCCCCGTTGAGGTCACAACTCCAGATATGATCGAAAAAATTCATCAAATAGTGCTGGGAGACCGCAGATTGAAAGTGCGTGAGATAGCTGAGACCTGTAAGATGTCATATGAACGTGTGCAACATATTTTGCACCAACATTTGCATATGGAAAAGCTCTGTGCAAGATGGGTGCCGCGTTTGCTAACAGTCGACCAAAAATTGATTCGAAAAAACATTTCTACCGCAAATTTGTCATTGTATAAGCGTAATCCAAGCGAATTTTTGCGTCGATTCGTAACCGTTGACGAAACGTGGGTCCACCACTACACTCCTGAAACCAAAGAACAGTCTAAACAGTGGATTGGACCAGGGGAACCAACTCCAAAGAAGGCAAAAACAATTTTTTCGGCGAACAAGGTTATGGCTACTGTTTTTTGGGATGCAAGAGGTATTATATACATTGATTACCTTGCAAAGGGTAATACTATCACTGGTCAATACTACGCAGACTTATTGCAACGTTTGAGCCACGAGGTGAAAATTAAACGACCTCATCTGGCGAAGAAAAAAATCTTGTTTCATCACGATAACGCACCAGCGCACACGTCAATCGTTGCGACGGCTAAAATCAACGATCTAAAGTTTGAATTGATGCCGCACCCTCCTTACTCTCCAGACCTAGCCCCGAGTGACTATTTTCTGTTCCCTAATCTCAAAAAATGGCTTGGCGGTAAGAGATTTGCGGACAATGAAGAAGTAATCGAAGCTGTAAATGGTTATTTTGAGGAGCTTGACGAATCAGTCTATAGAGATGGCATTAATAGACTGGAACACCGCTATGAGAAATGTATCAGCCTTGGAGGAGATTATGTTGAGAAATAAAAAAAAAAAATTTTTAAAAACCTTGTTTTTCTTGGTCAGGCCGGAAACTTATCAATCCACCCTCGTATTTGTTGGCCACTTCATTAATTTTCTCTGGTATAAAAATTCTAGCCACAATAATGAAAAATGTTGTTAATGTTGATTATTTTGCTAATCACTTTGAATCTGTTTATATCGATCAAAATCAGTGTGTATTCCCAGGTATTCCCAATAAGTCTTATTACTTTTAAATCAATTGGGTATATTCAATGAGAGAGAGAGAAGAGGTTAACTGAGAGCTGGTCACGATAGCATTCCTGCTAAATTTGTTTCACGATATGGTAACTTGTTATGATAGTTACTACTTTTGCTTTGATAAATTGATTGAAAAGCTCCTTCCTCATTACTTAAACTCCTTTATTAGTTCACATCAACATGGCATTACCACTAGCAAAACTAGAGTTTCCACCCTAGTTATGCTTAATGACTATATTGTAAAAGCATTGAATGATGATAAACAGGCTGATATTATTTATACTGGATTTAAGTCATCTTTTGATTTAGTTAAACGTACACAGTTATTAATGTAAATAGATACGTATGGTGTTCATTGCTCTATTTTTTTATTGAGTGTAGGGTTTATAGTGTTAACAAGACGTCATTTGATTACATTGTCAAATCTGGAGCACTTCAGTGCTCTCACTGCGGCTCGCTGTTCTTTAAGGTAGTCATCAATGAGATACTTAATGTAGTTGCTAATTCGTATGGCCTGCTATATGACGATGATTTGAAAATTTCTCGTATGATTAGTTCAACATGACCTGAATGAAGTTAATGATTTTTCTAAAACAAATTGTTTTAAATTCAGTATTGACAAGTGCTGTACAATATCTTATTATAGGTCTAATTTACAAGTTTATTGATACTGTTTAGATGACCACCTACTCCAAAGAATCTTTATTGTCAAAGATCTCGGTGTCATGTTTGGCTCAAAGCTAATAAATACTCCAGTACAACTACTTTACAACGTACCTATGGTTATAATGTACCAAATGAAAAGTTTTAACTGTTATTACAAAGCCTAAGTATCATCTATAACGTAGGTGGGCTCCGCGGTCAAAAATATAGTCTGATTTCGCCTCGATTGTTTAAATAGTATTAAAAACCAATGGTACGATTCCGCCTCGAAGAAATACATAGCATGGTTTATAAGCTTTATGTTCAATGTTTAATATTTAGCGTCTATTTTGTATTGTTGCTAATGTGTCCAACACCTTCACCAAATAAAATCTTGCACATGCATCTGGCACAATTAGTTACATTGACACTATTTTTGTGCAAAACTAATTTTTTTAACAGTCTACCTCTCTAATCTCCTTAAATACTGACAATTATCAAGTTTTATCCGTAATTCAATGGAAACTAAACGCCTTTATTTTTCATAATAACTTAAGCAAACTTCTATTTCAACTGCACGAAATAAAGAACGTTAAGGATGTTTGGGAGGTACAATCGGAGACAAGAGTACATAAAATTAGAAATTCGTGATTAATTAGGTTTTGCCGCATATCATGAGGTAAATGAATACTATTTATACTAAAAAAAAAGTATACGGTTTGAGAGAAAATTTGGAATTTGACCAAAAACTTTGAATAAAATAAGAAATAACGATTAATATGGAAAACTGTTAACTGACTTTTGGCAGTGAATATGCCTTGATTTCAACTTCGAAACAAAAAAATATTTAGTTTCAATCTTTGTTAATAATGAGCGTAAAACTTTTTATTATGTTTAAATAATAATTAAACCTTTAAAACTGCATTTATTTCAGACAATTATAAATATTATCATTATATTATCAAGTAAAAACGAGATTTTCAGCTAATTTTTCATTTTTTCCTCGATAACCATTTAGTGAATTTGAATAACCTTACGCTAAAGTGATTCTCCAGAGTTCAAGTTACTTATTATACAAGTTTGAAATTTCTGGTAGCTTGTTTCCTGTTAATAAAAATAAATTGAATCTGTTTGATTAACAAATATCCATAAAATGATGTGTAAAATTACATTTTTTTAAAAATTCAATAACTTTTTAACCGTTTAGTGAATCGATATGTAATTTTTACGGGAGTTTTAGAATTGAATGAGGAACGTCCTTCCAAATTTTTATTTGTCTCGTAGCATTTTGACATACTTCGCAAACATCCTTAAATAATCATTAACGGAGTGTACATGTAATTTTTATGTCATCTTTTTTTTTCTAGTCGCTGATGCTACAGGCTGTTATTACAATTTCCAACATTACGATGAAGGAGATCGAATTATAACAAACGAACCTTGCCTAAATTGTACCTGTCACAACAGGATGCTCATGTGCTACTTGCGAGTTTGTCCATATACCAAAGCGATTGGACAAGACTGCAAAGTAGAAAAACGAGCCGACCAATGTTGTCCTGTCATCACATGTCCTGAAGGTACTTTCAGATTTTTAAAAATCAATCGTTAAAGTGATTGATATGTATATACCTACATATGAGTATATTGAAATTAAATATCTGCAACTTTTTTTTATTTACTTCTAGTTCCTGTACAACTTCTTACCTCAACCGCTTCTCCATCTACGGACGTCGGTCACCTCAATCAATATGGCTGTTTTATCGATAGCCTGTTTTACTCAGATGGAGCCAGAGTACCTTCAGATCCTAATAAACCGTGCGAACTTTGCTACTGCATCCGAAACAAAACAGCTTGCGTAATGCAAGAATGCGAGTTACACATTCAAGGTTGCAGTCCCGTTTACCAAGAAGGAGTATGTTGTCCTGTTAGGTACAATTGCGGTAAGTAACGATTTATTTCATTTTATATTCATACCTGCTCATCAATCAATAATTCCTTTTTATGTCCATGCTTATCGATCAATAATTCCTTGTCTATCACATTACAGAGCATCCTCAGTATAATCTCTTGGAAACGACAAGTACAGAACGCACAACCACAACCGGTCTCATTTTCACCACCACTCTAGCACCAGGAGTGACAGAGTGCATCCATAATGGAGAAGCGTATGCTGACGGTGCTTTGATAGAAGGTATCAAAACGGCTAAACCATGTGAACACTGCTACTGTATGAAGGGTGACATAGTTTGTGCCGTACAAGAGTGCAGTCCCACCCCATTGGAAAAGATTAATTGTACCGCGTTGCCTCCACGAGAGGGACAATGTTGTCCTGACACCTACGACTGTGACAACATAATCGAAGAAGAACTAACCACAATTTCCATTGATTTTACAACCACGATTAAACCAGTCTATATAACCACCCTCAAATCCGAAGAATACACCGAAAAAGAGATACAAGATAATATAATTACCGAAGAGAGAGGCAGTTTCTTGACTACCCTGCCACCACTGGAGAAAGCAACAGCCGAAGAGACTGGAGCAGAGACAACTCAAATTCCTGAAATTGTTTCAGGAATCACTGAAAAGGAAACGGAAGAAGCAGAAACAACTCACGCTCCAGAAACCGCTCCTGAAGCTTCCCATACAGCAGCAGTTTCAGAAGTCGCTCCGGAAGTAACGGAAATTGCTACGGAAGCTATTCATCTCCCTCAGGAAACAGTATCAACAACCGAAACTGAATCAGAAACAACTCACATCTCCGAGACTGCTTCAAAAGAAACGATTGCACCTTCAGAAGAAGTCACAACGCCGCCTCAAGAGGTACCTTCAGGTACAACCAGAGCTCCAGAAGACATACCAGGAGTAACCCAAACTCAAGAAAAACTAAAAACAACTTCGACAACCGAAATAACGCAAGGAACAGAAGCTACTCCAAATGTTACTATTTCGTCAAAGGAAGAGTCCGATGAAGCCCATGGTCTAGAAATTACTCCTTTGCCGGAAGAAGGACCAAAAACAGCAGAGGGTTCAGAAACAACTCCTGTACCGAAGGAAAAGTCCGAGGATACGCAAAGACCAGAAACTACTCCTGTGCCTAAAGAAGAACCAAAGGCAACGGAAAGTTTAGAAAGCACCTCTGTATCTAAAGAGGAGCCAGAAGTAACGCAACATCCAGAAACTACTCCTGCATCTAAAGAAGAGCCAGAAATCACACAAGGTCCAGAAGTCACTCCTGCATCGAAGGAAATGCCAGAAGTAACACAAAGTCCTGAAGCTAGTCCTGCATCTAAAGAACAATCAGAAGTAACTCAACCTATAGAAGCTACTTCTGCGACGAAAGAAATTCCAGAAGTAACGGAAGGTCCAGAAGCTACTTCTGCATCAAAAGGACCAGAGGTAATACAAGGTCCAGAAACTACTTCTGCATCGAAAGAAGTTCCAGAAGTGACGGAAGGTCCAGAAAGTCCAGAAGCTACTCCTGCAATTACAGAAGTACCAGAAATAACGGAAGGTCTAGAAAGTACCCCTGCATCGAAAGAACTTCCCGAAGTAACGGAAATTCAAGAAACTACCCTTGCATCTAAAGGAAGACCGGAGGTTACGCAAGCCGCAGAAATTACTCCTGCCTCTACAAAGGTTCCAGAATTAACAGAAAGTCCGGAAGCTACTCCTGCATCGACAGAAGAGGTAGAAATAACACACGGCCCAGAAACTACTACTGCATCGAAAGGAAAACCAGAGGTAACACAAGGCGCAGAAACTACTACTGCAACGAAAGAAGTTCCTGAAGCAACGCAAGCTCCAGAAGCTACTCCTGCATCGAAAGAAGTCTCAGAAGTAACGGAAGGTGCAGAAAGTACTCCTGTATCGAAAGATGAGGCAGAGATAACACACGGCCCAGAAACTACTCCTGCATCGAAAGGAGAACCAGAGGTAACGCAAGGCGCAGAAGCTACTACTGCAACGAAAGAAGTTCCTGAAGTAACCCAAGCTTCAGAAGCTACTCCTGTATCGAAAGAAATCCCAGTAGTAACAGAAGGTCCAGAAGCTATTCCTACATCTAAAGAAGTTCCAGAAATAACGGAAGGGCCAGAAGCTACTCCTACTTCTAAAGAAGTTCCAGAAGTAACAGAAGGACCAGAAGCTACTCCTACATCTAAAGAAGTTCCAGAAGTAACTGAAGGTCCAGAAGTTACTCTTACATCGAAAAAAGTTCCAGAATTGACGGAAGGTCCAGAAACTACTTCTGCAACGAAATATGTTCCAGAAGTAACACAGAGTTCAGAAGCTGTAACTGTATCAAAAGAAGAGTCAGAAGCAACGGTGGGTGTAGAAGCTACCCCTAGTCCGAAAGAAGCAACAACTAAGTCGTTTGAAACCGAAGGACCTAAACTTGTTTCAGAAGTAACTCCAATTCCAGAAAAAGTTTCACCAGCAGTAACCCCTCAATTTACTGAGAGCGCCGCAGAGTACACAACTGAAGGCAAAGAGACCTCTGTTTCACCAACAATACCTGAAGGCGTCTCAGAAGAACAACCCTCAGAAGTTACAGTCATACCTGAGTCTACTCCAAAACGCCCTGAAATTGCTTCTGCAGTTACCGAGCAACCGCAACACGTATCTAAATCCACTCAAATATCTGAAGTAACTGAAGTTTCAGAAACAGGAACTACGTTACCTCCATCAGGTAAAGAGACAACTAAACCTAGTCAAGAAGTAACTACTGCACCAGAATCATCAGAACAGCCACAATTTGCACAAGAATCTACAAAAGAACCTCAAATCGGCAAAATACCAGAATTTTCCAAAACAACCATTAATGCTGAAGAAAGTGTAACGACAGTTAGTTCTGAAGTTACATCACCTATTACTGGAACTTCTTCTGAACAACCAGAAGTGTCTTCGGGGGCATCTGCTGAGCTTACAACTCAAGGTATAGAAAGCACGTCAAGAATTTTCGGAGAAACTGAAACAGAAAAACCGGTAAGCGTTCCAGAAATCTCAACCGAAGGAATTATGCATATAAAGAAACCAACAACTGGTCAAGAAACTACTGAGGGTGGTAAAGTGACAGAAGCACCACAAATCAAAGAAACAGTCAGTACTAGTCAATCACCTGAACTTGAAGCTACAGAACCAACGGAGGAAGCAAAGGTAACACTGGAAACTAGGGGAGGCGAGGAGAGTGCACCCACTCAAACTACTCAATATCCTTCTAAAGTCAAAGCTCCCAAAGGTGAGCTTGGAATTACCGAACAAACTCCAGAAATTATTCCAACTCATCCACCTGAACCTCAAATAACCACCGTCTCTGAGCCTCAAATAGAAAAAGAAGAGGAAGTTCCTGTCCAAAGTAAACCAGAAAAAGAAAAACCAGAAGAGGGAACGGAAAGTCCTAAACCAGAAGAAATAACTCCCCCTGAAATTGTAAAAGAGGAAGAAACACAAACTCCTTCTCAAACAGAACAACCACCAAAAGAAACACCTTCATTCCCGCAAACTTTAGAAACAGTAAGTGTATTGCCAACTGAATTTGAACAAAAGACTAAACCTACTCCAAGTGAACAATATTTGCCACCTAAAATGGAGGGTACCACAGCTACTCAAACTGCAACGACTACTGCGGGTAAAGAAGAAGCAACGGAAGGTATTCCTACAGAACAAATAACTGAAAAGAAACCACTTGAAGAACATACTGAATCTCCACAACAAATGCAAACCGAGACTTCAATAGCCGCTGTTTCGTCGCCAGCTACTGAAAAAGAAGAAACAACACAAAGTCGAGAGGTAGTTTCAAAAACAACCACAGAAAGTTCAGTTACGGAGAAGACGGATGTATCATCTGAAGTACAATCCTCAACAGAGGGGGTGACTGAACAATATGTTACAAAACCGGAAGAAGAAAAACCTGAAACTGGTGAAACCCAACATCCACAGGAGGAAACTACAAAATCAATCATAGAAGAAAAAACTACATTGAGGCCTGAAATCATAACAACTGGTATCCCCGAAATTTCTGAAACTGAAACGGAAAGAAAATTACCAGAAACTGACACAGAGGAAATACAAACAGAAAAACCAGAAACTGTCACAGAGGAAATACAAACAGAAAAACCAGAAACAGCAACAAAATCACCTGAAAAAGTAGAACAAACAACACCTGCAGTTTCAGAAACGAAACCTGAAGCTGAGACAAAGATTCCAGAAGAAGCAACTAGCGTTGCTTCCACTGAGATTTCCAAAACTGAAACGCCACGAACGCCCGAGTTAGTTACTGAAGAAATTAAATCAGTACGACCCGAAATGGAGACAAAAGCACCCGAAGAAGTAACTCCTACGGCAGCTACTGAAATTCCTGAGACTGAAACACAACACAAATTGTCAGAAACGGTCACAGCGAGACCAGAGGCAGCAACAACTTTCGAAGAACTGCCTTCTACAACTCCCCAGGTTTCTGAAACACAAAAGTCGGTTACAGAGCAAACAAAACCACAAGAACCTGCAGCAGAAACAAAGGTCCCCACAGAAGAAATTTCGACAACACCTAAAGTTGAATCAGAAACAAAATTACCAGAAACGACTATCGGAGAAGAAAAGGTTCAAGAGACAGAGGCTAAACTTCCTGAGGAACCAATATCTACAACTTCTGAAATTTTAACCGAAAAGTTGCCAGAGGCAGAATTAAACCAAACGGAACCTACTATAACCAAGGAAGAAACTAAACATCCTGAGATAGCCACAGAAGCAACAAAACCTCACGAGGCAGAAACAAAAGCTCCCGAAGAATCTACAACGGTTGAATCACTTACAGAACAACCGACGGCTTTAACTGAAACTGAAAAAGAAAAGCAAACAACCATTTCTTCACAAAAAGTCCTAACTAGTCAACCGTCTATAGAAGCGCAAGTAACAGAAGTTAGTCCTGAATATGCAACTTCAAAACCTGAATTGACAACTTTTGGAGCAGAAACTATTGCTCCAAGCACATCAGCGCCAAAAGAAACAGAAGAACCCTCACCTGAAGTACATACCGAGAAAGAAGCTGCAGAAACAGAGCAACCAGCTGAAAAAGAAACTACCGAAAAACCAGCCGAAACTACATTGAGAGTTGAAGATCGTTTTTCTGAAGCTAGTACAGCAAGCGAAGAAGAAAAACCTATCCCAACTGAAACATCTGCAACCACTCAAGGGCCACTGCTAACAGAAACTCAAACATCTACTACATTTAAATCAACTAGTCCTTCACTGAAGGAGACTGAAACCGAAAAAGCGATAGCAACTGAAGAATCAGTGCTTTCTACTACTGTGGAATTCGAAGCTGTTACTCCCGAAATAGTTTCAACACAACCTGCACCTACAACGGAAAAGGCCGTGGAAGTAGCAAGTTCAGAAGGCCCTGTACAAGAATCTGGAATAACTGCAACGCCTTCTGAAAAATCGACCGAGCTTCCTATTAAAAAAGAAACTCCGGAAAAGAAACCTGAAGAAGAAGAACAATTTTCAACAACAGAACAATTAGAAGGCACTGTTACTACTAAGCCAAAGGAAGAAACCCATAAAACAACACAGGAATTTACAACTATGGCTCCTATTTCAGAAACAACACCTTCAGTTGTGGGTGAGGAAACAGAAAAACATATTCCTGAAACACAAACAATTTCATCGGAGGAATACCCCGACCAACAAACAAGTATAACAGAAATGTTCACAAAAAAAGAACAGTATACCACACTTCCCATTGAAACTACACAAAAAACAATCGAAGAATTTACTAAATTACCAGAAAAGGCAGAAGTACCTCAGACACCTGAAAGTTCCGAGAAACCAGAGAGTGTAACTCAACCTCAAGAAGAAATCGCTACAGAACATAAAATACCACAAGAAACCACTCCCACATCGAGAGTAACAGTCACTGAAATACCTAAATTTGAATATAAAACGACTGAGACAATAGAGGGTGAAAATGTTACCGAGATTAGTAAAACACAAGCACCCGAAGCTCCTGCGGAAATAACCAAGCCTACATCAGAGAAGCCTGAAGACTATTCAAGCACAACAACAATTAAGTCAACAGAGGGTGAGGAGAGTACGACACCGGCAGCAGGAGAACTTGCTACATCGCCTCCAACACTGAAGCCTGAACATACAACTCTTTCTAAAGAACAAACTACAGAAATACCTATCTCGTTAACTTCAGGAAAAGAAGGAATTACCACTGAATATGAACAGGAAGCAACAACAGCCCCTGAAAAAGTAACAAAAGAACCAGAAATTAGTACTCCATCCGAATCTGTTACAATTCCAGAAGAACCTTCCATTCTCAATGAAATAGAAGGTCCGCAGGAAGTCCCCGTAGTTCCTTCCCAAGTTGAGGAAGAAGTATCAACCATTAAACCAACTAAAGAAACCAAAACGCCACTTGCAACTGAAACAATTTCGACAGGCCTACCTTCAAGAACGGAAGCAACTACTATCTCAGCCACTGAAGAATCAAGAACAACAATAAAACCGGAAATTTCTAGTGAAACAAGTAAGCCGGAATATCCAACAGAAACAGAACGTGGGGTTCCTGGGGAAGGAGCATGTTTGGTTGATGGTCAAACATATGCAAATAACTCATCAGTGCCTCCTGTAAATCCTTGCCAATTATCTTGCCAATGTATTAGTTCGATATTACAGTGTGACACTTTAGACTGTTCACCGCCACCATCAAATCTTCAAAATTGTATGCCCGTATATCATGGTCCAGATAGCTGTTGTCCAACATATAGCTGTGGTAAGTTAAAGTATAAAATGAATTCACTACATTTTACTAATAAATAAGTCATTTTAGCAGTGCCAGAACCTTCAGAAATCGAATCTGAATCACATAAAATGGAGTCAACTACCGCTCAGACAGAAAAGACAACAGCATCTAAGGCAGCTACCACTCCATCGACTACTAGATTACCTCAGGAAGTACCAGTATTTGTATCAGTGGGTGTCTTACCTCCTGGATTTGAAAAATCTTCGGAGGCTCCTGAAGTGGTACATGAAAAGAAACCAGTTGAAGAGAAACCGTTTGTAGAAGTTCACGTTCCTGAACTTCAAACTGAGGCTCCATCGGCTTCAGAAATGCCTATTGAAAAGGAAACAACCGTACAACTACCAACTTCTGCTGTTCCAAAAGAAGAAATTTCTACAAGCACTGTAAAACAAATAACTGAACAAGAAGCATATACAACAACTGCATCACCATCCATCACTTCAGAAAAAGCAGCCACAGAAGCTGCGACTACACAAGAAGAGTCCAAAACAACTCAGGAAAAAGCTTCGTCAAAACCAATTGAAGAAACTGTCAGAACCACACCAACGACCGAAGAAAAGGCAACAACAAAAGCAGAAGCTATTACAGAAACTCCAGAGTATGTTCCTGAAAAAGTAACTGTAGAATTGACTACAGTGCCTAGTGAAATTACCACAGAATTACCAGATAAATTCACTAAAGAAGGTGTTGAAGTTAGTTTACCATCTCGATTTGGAGAAATAAATACTACGACATCATTACCAACGGAACTTCCACATGAAATTTCTACTGCTTTTCCTGAAAAAGAAGGTTCTACTACACTGCCAAAGGTTGAACAGGCAACAACTGAGGCTGTAGAACAAACTAAAGAGCCAGAAGTTACAACTGAAGCAGATGAAAGAAAGTCAAGCGAAGCTTATACAGAGCAACCAAGCAGCGAAGTTCCTGAAGTTACTTCAACGAAAGAACGTGAACCTAGCACTGAAGAAGCAGTGACAGCAGCAGAAGATCAAACAGAAAAACATATTAAAGAGGGAACAGCATTGCCAGAAGAAAAGGGCACTACAGTATCAACGATATCTACAAAACCTGAAGGAATAACTGAAAAACCCAGTGAACCAATACAACCTACAAAGGAAGGATCAACAGAATTACCACAATCAATAGAGAAGGAAACTTTGAAGCCAACCGAATCAGTGCAGTCTGTAGAAGAAGAAACTGTGAAACCAACTGAACCAGTGGTACCTGAAGAAAAAGAAACCATAAAACCAACTGAAGCAGAAAAGCCCGCAGGAGAAGAAACAAAACAATCTACAGAGTTCACTCAACAACCAGAAGAAGAAATAACAAAACCGACGGTACTAGTCACAGAAGCTTCTACCACTCCAAAATCAACCTTTGTATATACATCGAAAGGTCCAGAAATGGAACTTACGACTGAATTACTCCATAAACTCACGACTTCTTCCTCGCCACTCTTTACAACCACACAGCCAAGTTTGGAATCTTCAAGCACTCCTCACGAAGTTCCTGATTACACAGGGGGACATGACGAATATGAAGAAGAAGGAAGTGCTTTTGGACCAGGAACTTGTCGGTATGGAGGAAAAGTATATGTCTCTGCTCAACAAATCCCAAGAGACGACCCATGCGATTTTTGTTTCTGTTTCCGAAGCGATATCATTTGCTTACAACAAAGTTGTCCACCCCCCATTCCACGATGTCACGAAGAACCAATTCGTGGATTCTGTTGTCCTCGATATGAATGTCCAGTTTCTATGGCTAATTCAATTAATGTTACAACAACGACTAGTACAACTACCACTGTGTTACCACCGCATTTCCTTCCGCATGCATACCAAGGAAAGATAGCAAGAAAAGGTTGTCAAATAAATGGACAAGTATATCAAGTAGGAGAAGTAGTAAAATCAACTACAGGACCATGTCTTCATTGCACGTGAGTTTAAATTACTATGATTATTATTTATTCGCTTGTCAGCAAGTATAAAATTAAAAGTTTCCTACTAATATACACTTTCTTTTATTATAGATGTGGAGGGGATGGTCAAATGAAATGTAATCCAAAATCGTGTAGTCCTGAACCAATGCTTAGGAAAATGATTGCGGAAGTTGCCACTAGGAGGAGAAGATGAGCTTAAAGTGCTGTGTTAGTGACAATTAGTCACCAAAAGTGATAAAGTGTGACAGAAACAATTTTGCTATTAAATAGTCGTGAACCATAAAGTGGGTGCCAAAATGACGTAAAACTGTAGGTATTTTGTGCCTTTTAAGCCCTTATTGGGCACTCTACCAGTGACCGCGTGTGCTTTTATCACATGCTATAAACGTGATGTTTTCTAAGTATACCGAAACGACTTAATATTTATATTGACCTTGACTGAATTTTTTACACTTTTATAGTTATATTTTTGTGTCGTATTTTGAAAGCCATTCACATCCTCGAAAACGTCTCTCCTCTCGTTGTCTTACGTAGGTACTGCACTATCTGCCTAAGTTGTTTGACCAGCAGAAAAACTAGCAAGTAGATTTTAGAAAAATAGTTTTTGTATAAAATATATTTCTGCTGCTTGAACGCTTAGACATTTGTATATTTCAAATGCTCAATATACATATAGATTATGTAGTATTTATCAATAAAAGTAACTAAAATTATAAATGAACATATTTCGTTTTATTACCGCATTTCTCTAAAATAACACTTACAAGTAGACAACATACTTATTATTAATAAAACAGGTTTAAATTTTTCACAATATCACACATTCGTGTCTACAGTAATTTTTAAAAATTACTTTTATTAGAATAATAAATAATATAAAATTGTCAACAAAAAAATATTTTACACTTAAAAAAGCATCTTAAAATACATATTGTCATTATATATAGCTCACATTGCAACAAAAGATTTTAGTATCAATAAAACTGAAAGGAATAGTTCTCATGTTGTTCTTTAGCTAACTTAAATAACTTGACAAAATAATTCCTGCTGCGTGGGTTAACATAGTAAGTGAACAACTTACAAACTTCTTTGGTTTCATTCGAAATTCGACTAGGAGAATCGCAACTTGATACGCTTATTTCCGAATTATTTAAACTGACGTCATCAGGAAATTGCATTAACCCTGTTGTATTTTTAACATAATCCGCAACCCTAGCCCGTTGAGCAGGATCCATTTCTGGTATTTCATCCTCAAGAATTTTAAGGGGTTTCTTCGGAGGCAACAATTTGAAAGTTACAAGTGTAGGATCATTTACATCCAAAATGACTTCTATATCCTTTAAGTTTAACGTATGCTCGATAACATCGTTGTCAATATTTACAATCAATAAAATATCGACGTGTAGTATTAATGCTATCGCTACATACAGTCCTTCAGCAGTAATTTCAGTGGCTTCAATTGCAAAAACTAAAGTGCATGGTGAACAGTCCCGAGAAAATTTCCAATTATATTTTAAAACGGAATTAGAATTAGACAAAATATGTTGCAAAACTGGCCTCACTCTGGGTTCTGGAAATGTATTCCAGCCAGCACCTTGTAGTAAACCTAGTTTATTACATTTTGATATAATTTATTTATTATTTTAATTGCTAATTTATTTTGTATACATACCTTCGCCTGTTTGGGCAATTAAGTCTGCTGCTCCACTTAATGGCTTAGTAAAAACACCTACCAAACCCAGCCCCACACCTGTTGCAAAACCTCTAGGTGATGCTCCTTCTTTCATTATTGATTTTAAGGGATGATGAGCTATACCGCCTACAGCACCAAGAAGACTAATGCCAAATCCGGTTAAACCCTGCAAATAAAACAGATTTTACATAAAACATAAAAAATACTGGACGACAATATCCAAGCTCGAAAATTTTTTCCTATATGAGCTGATAAAATAAATTTTCAAGCGGCAAGTTTAAAGTTGCCTACCTGTAAAAATCCTTGAGTAACTCCTTGAGGACGTAATCTTCTGTATTCTTCAGTTCTTTTTAAATGTTCTTCATCAAGGGTGAGCCTGTCTAAATTTCTAGCTACACTTGCAGCCAATTTAGTAACTGATTGCAATGTTCCTGCTGTTACATGCCTCATTAAAGACGCTGATCCACTAGTAACACCTCTTATAAATGCCCACGGTCCTTGAATTAAACCCAAGTATGGCAAGCTCACGAAATCCTTTAATCCAGACCCCATTGCTCTAGCTAAAGTCCCAGGACTGCCTAAAAGTTCCAAAGAACCCACTACCCAACCAGCTCCAAATATTGCTCCTGACAGATAATGCAAAGTAAACGCATATCCTAATCTGTAAATAAACATTATTCGAAAATTTTAAATATAGAAACTATTATTTGTTATTATACCTGTATGGGGTGGTCATAACATTATGGTGTTCAAATTTTGAAAATTGAAGAGGTGATTGGTCCAAAGCAATGTAGACTTTGATGGAGGAATGAACTGACAAAAGTAAGGACCACTGTTCAACAATCAACGATCTTACTGTAATGGGATAAGCTAATATTTTAGATTCCAAAACAATGTGATTAGGAAGGTTAATAAAATTGGAACTGTAATGAGGTAATGTTTTCTTTTGTTTCGACCACAAAACTAACTTAGCTGGAGTACAAGTCATAAAATATTCTTTTAGTTTTAAAATAAATGTATCTTCGATAAATGCTGACAAAGGTTTCATTGAAACGGTGAGTTTCTCAATATCTAAAAAGTCGAAAAATAAGAACAAGTAACTCTTCACAACTAACAACAGTTTACCCATTCTGCTTTTACCAAGCACTTCATCATTCCATTTTTCGAAAACAAATTCTGTTTTTATAAATGATTCATTTTGGTATTCTTTCATCAAGAGTTCTATGGGTTCGTTTAAAGAAAAATGTCTTTTAGGCTCTTGAGGTGACTGACTAATTAATACTACAGGAAAATCATAACCACCTCTGGCATACATCTGGTTATCGATTTGAATTTCCGACACTGTTGCTGTTACATTCATTTTCTAGAATAAGTCAAAATTTCATAATTTCAGCTAATATTATAAATTTTTCAGATCGTACCTCCTTCTGTTCCAAAACGAAAGTAATATTGTCACAGATCATATTTACTATTTCTTTTATTTTAACAGAATTGCCAGACAAATCGGACGTAAAAGTGAGTGTTAGTCCTTTTAAAAACATTTGCACAACCAAAGATTTTCGATAGACACTCATCGCTTTTAATGATTTAGCAGGGTCTGTAATTAAACTTGTTGTGGTATTTACTATGTCAATATTCATTTTCTCATCCACAATTGGTAAAACATATTGATCTTTAATCCCACTAGAACTTGCTTTCTGGTCATAAAGTAAAATTGGTTTATAATCCTTACTACTTTGAACGCTCGATTCACAATTCGAAGACTGAAAAAAGCAATACAATATAGAATTACAGTCACCACCTCTAACAAAATTAACGAAAATTGCAATTACTTTTTTGTGGTTGATGAATAAAACTAAAGTGCAAAATATCACGACATAAAAAATTGCAATAAATAAATTATTTTTAACAGGTAAAAAACGAAATTCAAATATTATTGTTAGAAACCAATTAAAGATTTTTTTATTGTACTTTGATGATCGAATGTAAAATTTTTGAGATCTTACCTCTTTCGCGGATTTGATTGCTCGCATTTTTGTTTCAGTGTGATGTTGTTTTTCATGTAAAGCAAGACGTATTCTTATATCTTTGGCACTTACTTCAGCCTACAAAGTAATTAAAAGTAATTCAAAACTCGCAAATAGATAAATATTTGTAATACTTACCTTACTGATCGAATCTATTGTAACAAAAATTGTCTGTGTCGAACTAGTAAAAGTAACTTTAACATCTTTAAATTGGGGTATTCGTACGAAATGTTCATTATAAATATTTATGTTAATAGGAACGGACCACCGAGTTGAGGATATACCACCTATGTTTTAAAAAAGATAATTAAACATTTATATTGCACAAATTTGTTCAATACATCTCTTATTGAATAGATTAAACAAAAATTGCATTCAAATAAAGACCATTTTCACTCATTACGCAATAATTAAGATTTTATAAAACTCTGCTTTACCTTTGATGTCAGTGGCAATTACTAATTTTTCTGTTTCTGATTCAGATGCCAAGTCTGGAAATTTCTCAGAAAATGATGGTAAACTGTAATAAATCGTTTCGCCGTTATCTGCTGAGGTAATCCAATCGAAATGAGGAGCGTCACTGACAAAACATTTTCCAAACAGAGAATCAATTTTTAAAAACTGCGCAAAGTACAATCTTTTACCACTTCTGTTTTCTATACGCATCTGAGGATGCGCGTCATGATGTACAGAGAGGTAAGTTACTCCCTTGCGTTCTTGACAAGTAATTACTAATGGTATCTGCATAAATGAAATTATAACAGAGTAACAGCATTAAACTCTAAGTACAAATACTACTTTGCACATTAATATAATGTAAACATATACAACAGACTGTATGACTAAAATTTTAAAGATGTAATAGACAAAGTAAGTAAAAGTGTAAAGCTGGAAGAAAATTTTAGAACTCTTACAAACCAAACTACAAATGATTATATTAATTAGGTTAAGGGCAATTTCTACTAATGAAACAACATATTTGTATGCTAGTATAATACTACCTTATAAAATATTTTTTGATGATAATTTAGAAAAAAAATATGTTAACAAATGGGTTACACTTAATAATTATGTGCCATACTTTTGCTGAAACCTATTCATAATTAATTTAAATAATAACATCTGAGGAAATTTAAGTTGCGATTGTGTATATTCTGAATTATTATTTAAATTAATAATTTTTCTATATTTTAACTAATATCATTTATCGTATTTGTATCACGATGTTGTTTCATCTTTATGTTCAACTTTTAATCTAAATAATTTTTTTATTAAAATGCTTGTTAAAAACAAACTAACATTGTAAAGCACTGTGAAATTCTGAGCACTCCTATAAAAATTTCAGTAGCCTCTACAAAATATATAGCTAAGACAATCATTATATAGTTTCCACTTACGTTTTGATTTTCCGATTTAACAGAAATTGCTCTACGAAGCGATCCCTTATCCACCCGAACAGGACATGACCAACCCTCGGTAGCATTTATGGCAAATGATATATACAAGGCAAAATCAGTACTGATATCTCCATCTACTAAATGCCATCGAACAATAGATATGCCAGTGTCACTATAAATTAATTTCCAGTTAGAATTGATCATTGGAAAATTCTTTATATATTAATAAAAAATGCGAGTCATACAGTAGTATCTGATGATGTGTATCAACCAACATTGATAACAAGCAAAATAATAATTTCACAAGCTACTGCATAGCGTTTTCGTCGTATTCACGAAATTACTCCCTTAGTCCTACATACACACATACTGGGTGATAAGGTATTGCATATCAAAAACAAAGTTTATAAAAGTCAAACACTAACTTCACATTCCTAGTGCATAATACTTGCATAGAATGGAACTTTTACATGACGCCGCTTAGGACTTATTACAACGTTTGCGTTTAACATCTAATCTAAATCTAAATCTAAACTTTTAATTGGCTCTATAAAAATACATACTTTTTGTCTAGATTTGGAGCGATGGTAAACGCATTCGATTTAGCGTTTTTAGGAAAGCTATAAATATTTCCATTATCTGGTACAGCAAAACAGACCACTTCCAGTTGAAACGGTATGCAGTTTATTAAAACATGTGAAGAAGAAATTTTTAGATGACGTATTTCATTACAAATATTACTCAAAATTGAAGCCATACAAATCTGGTAAATAAATGATAATTATTAAAATAAATACGTAGCGTATTAAAATATAAAAAGCAACCTACATATGCGCCACACTTGATAGGAGTTTGGATACAACCATTTAATGGAACAGTTCCAATAATTTTGGGCATGTAAAATGCTTGGCTCCATTCGGAATTAGCCAACTGTAACGCTTGGGATAAATACTTTTTTTTACCCAACTCAACGCCCACATAAAAATCGCCCTTTCAATACAGAAATAATAAATTTTTTTAAAGATATGCAAAAATAATAAAATAATTACCTCCATTTTTGGAGGCGATATGATTCCTTGATGACGAACTGAACAAGCTTCCTCTTTATCAATTACTATTGTTATAGTACAACCCAAATTATTGACCAAAATACACCATGGTATTAGTTCAATCAATAAACAATTGGCATATGGGCAGACTTCCTTATAGTTTATCTGAATAATATATTAAAAGCCGCATTTATTAAGACACACTAGGTGTTCGTACTTAAATATACAGAAATGATATTCAAATTACATAAAAGCAATCACTTAAAACATAGCAAATTTTAATTTATATTATAATAAAGGTAATTGGATAATTTGTGATTTTAGTATTATTATTTCATTTGTTTTTATGCATTTTCTATACCTTTACATGGGTTATGGGCTGGTCTTCAACAATCCATTGAACATCATCCTGTTCATCGTCAAAGTATGGCCACCTCTGTTTTTCAAAATTAGACAGCATTTCAAGAACTTCGTTTATGTTTTCGTTATCATGTTTTTTAAATATTTCCTTCTGATCAACCAATGTGTAATTTAAAGGTACAACAGAATTGAAGGCAGGAATGCCATTACTGAAAAAACAATCGTTTTAAAATTGTTAACTATAAATTAAATGAAATTAAAACTTACTCAAAATGAAAAGAAAGCAAATGAGAGTGATCGCTTGTTCCAGGGCAGTACAACTGCTGATATTTTCCTTTGCCGTGTATAATACTGTTTGAACTTAACATTAAAGCTGGCGATTCAATTTTACACTGTGCGTCAATAGCTAGGTTGGATTTTATCATGAAAAGAGGCCATAATACTGCTAAATATTTTGTTTGCTTTCCGTATTTCTGAGTGATTATTTTACACCAAATACTTAGAAAATTATTGCGTTCTTGAAGAGGAACTAAAGATAAGAGTGTGTTTACAGAAATAAATAAAGTGGGGTAAATATGGGCTCTTACTGGGGTAAAAAGAGCTTTCTGAAGATTATTTTAATAAAATTTAGGATAACAACTTTATTGTAATTATTTCAAAATTTCGACAAAACATTTACTAGTACGCCAAACTTTAATAACCTTCTTATACAATGATCTTAGACCACTTGTTTGTTATATAAAACAAGTTGAACAACGTACCTTTAACAAGCCAAGGTTGTGCATTTCTTGTATTTATTTCTAGCGGTATGTTACCAGTCCATGCTGAATCCATCCCAAAAAATCTTAATCGAAGACAATATCGTTGATCGTTTTGTAACAACAAAGATGGAGCAGTGGTTCTACCTTCCACAATATGGGTTTGAGCTTTTTTATACCGATCTTTATCATTGTCCACGTTTTCAAATACTTTGAACTCAAAATTTTCAGTCAACATATTGCAAACAACCATTGTTCCAGTTATAATGATTTGTTTTTGAGTAGTGGATAATTTTTTTACTGTTATAAATAGTTTATAAGTACCACGAATACCAACAACTTCAGTACCTTCTTCGGCTACTTGGAATGGTTCCGACCAATCCCAATCGAAACTCTCAGCACTCACTCGAAGCAATTGTTTAAACTTAGCAGATCGCCAACAGTATAAATGGAAACAACGTGTAGAAAGAGAAATTTTTTCATCGGTGCTTTCTTGACCAAACACGATATTTAGATTTGTATCGTTGCAAATAATATAATTGGTCAGTACGATTAAATCTTTTGTAGGGATATCCTGTAATGTTTGACTCCACATTTGCATGCTTACAGCTAACGTATGACCAACGGGAGGTCCATATTTGATAGTTATAGGTTGTGCTATTACATTAATTTTTGTAGTTTTTGTTAAATCAAGTTCTATTTTTAAGGGAAAAGGTTCTAAGAGGGGTTGCAACGTTAAAAATGAATATTCCAATATAGAACATTTTACCATCATCGAGAAATCAATTAAGTGATCCTCATAATTTCGAGATAAAACATGCACTTTGCAATTGTCAAAGGAGATTATTGCAAAACACTGATCTTCGGGCATATTACCATCAAAACTGAACGTTTTTAAAGCGTCTGGCATTCTGTAGATCGCATCTCTGTCAAAGTGAGAATACAATGATAAACTAACAGAGTCAACGTTTATCGCTAGAGAAACGTCAGGTACTAAACTTTTACTGAAATAAGAGTCTATACGGAGACAAGCAGCCAATGCTTTGGGAGAGATTAAGAACTTACTGGGATTAATTATTTCGAAACAGTTTGGATCCTCGTAATTAATCGGATGCAAAACTACCCTCCAAATGCAGGCCACTGTTGGATAAGATTTATGTGTCGGAAGATCAACATAACACATCTCACTCTCGGATAAAAAGAACTGTGTAAACGGTTGATATGAACAATGACAATCCGCCCAATACTCTAAAGAACAGAGAACTTGCTGATCTTTAAACTTTTCCGAAGCTTCTTTGAACGGCACGGGGAACACCCGAACTTTAGTTAATACTCGTGGTTGAGGATATCGCCATGCCATTGCTGCTGTACTTTCGTCCCAAAACATTACTTGATATGGTAGAGGTAATTCATCAGGACTGTTCGTTGAGGCGTTAATAAATTGGAATGCTCCTGCGCGTAAATCGTCCTTGTAATGTTGTTCTTTTTCTGATGTGTTTGATTTTATGCTATCAGGATTGCTCTTAGAATCATTTGTTATTTCATTACCCTCATCACTATCGTTGTCGCTAGGATAGTTTGCAATAATTTCATAGAAATCTTCCATTAAAAATTGCATGCACTTAATGTGTTTAGAGCCAACATCAAAATGAATGTTGTCCGAATCGATCGATATTTGTACCTGAGGACTACTATCAACAGCTTGCCATGGCTCCCAAAAGAAACAACTTTCGACAGACATGTTACACGGATTTAATAAAATTATGTACTTGTTGTTATCTACTACACTAAATGTTATGTTTTCGATATTGATTACATTGCTTATTCGTTCCGGTCTGTTGGATATTGTTAAATAACTTTTAAAAGATCCCACAGTTAGTACGCCATCGCTGCCAGAATTTGTCTTCACAACCAGAACAAGTTGAGATACCTTCGCATTTATACCTGTCACTCCGAAAATCGTTTCTTTAAAACTTGTTAATTTGGTGTACGTTTCAGTTTTTTTATGAGTGGAATTAAAAGAAACCTCTTCAATTCCATATTCCCGTTTTACTAATTGTTCCGGTTTTGTCAAATATTCGGTTTTTAGTGCTATATCACTGAAACCGTCCAAAGACAAATTAAAGATTTTCATCATTTTTTCCTTAATCATCAAAAAATAATTCCACTGTTGTAAAGATAGCTCAATTTTAATAGGTTTTCCAAATTCCGCGTCTACCGTTGCAGTTTTTCCTAAACTTTTGTTCCATTTTAAAGTCAAAAACGCAGGTAAAACGCCGGTATCAGGATGTGGCATACCTGAGCGTGTCTCTAAGAGGTTAATTGGGAAGTTTTCTTCTTTTGGCACTTGGCTTAACGGTTTATAGGCTACACTACAACTTTTAAGTTTAACGTCTGATACAGATACCTGCATTTTTCTAGTGACTTGTTGGAGACTTGCAAAAAAGCTAGGTTGGTATATGTAGATAAATAAAAGGGGTGTGAAACTGCTCGTAACATGCTCGCTACTTTCGCTTCCTTCTTCTGATCCTTCGTAGCCTCTTTCGCATTCAGCCTAATAAAGGAATACAAATTAACAAAAATTTATTACAATCGAATTGACCTGATTGATCACTTACATCTATTAGTACAGGTTTTTTTGATGATTTTCTAACTTTATCTTTAGCAAGTGGGTCAACAACGTCATACAATGAAAGAGTCAGTTTTCCGCCCACAATTAACGTTTCTGTAGGAATATTTTGTTTTCCAATTTGCCACGGTGTTTGAGAAAAAAATCCAAATGATTTTTCACTTTGTTTTTTGTCGTATTCAATTTTAGCACAAACATCAGAGCATCCCTATAAATAAAAATAAAATTCAGCCACAAACATACGCGACATCGTGAAAAAAATTTTACTAGTGTTAAAGGTGTTGTTAAAGTGGACTAGTTGCTACGTTTTTCGGCCGTTTCAATTCCAGAGTCTCTTACTTGTTCCAATGTATCCGGTCTATCGTCACTTTTATGGTCATCTCTCATGCTTTCAATCTTTACCTGAGGTCGTTTCAAAACCAAATCGGCAACCATAAATGACTTCCAAATACATAAAAATTCATTCATTAGAACCCATAAAAGGTTGATTTGATTCAAGGAAATGGATATGTCGACATCAGAAGCAAAATTTATTTCTAATGAATGACCACAAACGACAGTATCTAACTTGTAAACCATCGCCGGAGCAAATATTATGGAAATATCGAATCTTTAAGAGTAAATTGCTTTATAGGTGGAAAATAAAATTTTAGCTATTAGTACTTTTTAATGATTGGCCAAAAATTGAAATGTGGTCCAGAGTTTAGTACACTTTTGCCCAAATTGTTCCACTCAAGTGCTGGATTTTCACTCATTGTCTTTAGTAGGCAACCCTCTTTTATATTCACATTAAGAATGGTCAGTAAGTCTTTCCAAAGACACGTGCCACTGGAAATCCCGACGATGTCTAATTGATACTGGCGATCTTCTATATCACTTCCTAATTAAAATTATAATGATATATGTTNTGTATGGGGTGGTCATAACATTATGGTGTTCAAATTTTGAAAATTGAAGAGGTGATTGGTCCAAAGCAATGTAGACTTTGATGGAGGAATGAACTGACAAAAGTAAGGACCACTGTTCAACAATCAACGATCTTACTGTAATGGGATAAGCTAATATTTTAGATTCCAAAACAATGTGATTAGGAAGGTTAATAAAATTGGAACTGTAATGAGGTAATGTTTTCTTTTGTTTCGACCACAAAACTAACTTAGCTGGAGTACAAGTCATAAAATATTCTTTTAGTTTTAAAATAAATGTATCTTCGATAAATGCTGACAAAGGTTTCATTGAAACGGTGAGTTTCTCAATATCTAAAAAGTCGAAAAATAAGAACAAGTAACTCTTCACAACTAACAACAGTTTACCCATTCTGCTTTTACCAAGCACTTCATCATTCCATTTTTCGAAAACAAATTCTGTTTTTATAAATGATTCATTTTGGTATTCTTTCATCAAGAGTTCTATGGGTTCGTTTAAAGAAAAATGTCTTTTAGGCTCTTGAGGTGACTGACTAATTAATACTACAGGAAAATCATAACCACCTCTGGCATACATCTGGTTATCGATTTGAATTTCCGACACTGTTGCTGTTACATTCATTTTCTAGAATAAGTCAAAATTTCATAATTTCAGCTAATATTATAAATTTTTCAGATCGTACCTCCTTCTGTTCCAAAACGAAAGTAATATTGTCACAGATCATATTTACTATTTCTTTTATTTTAACAGAATTGCCAGACAAATCGGACGTAAAAGTGAGTGTTAGTCCTTTTAAAAACATTTGCACAACCAAAGATTTTCGATAGACACTCATCGCTTTTAATGATTTAGCAGGGTCTGTAATTAAACTTGTTGTGGTATTTACTATGTCAATATTCATTTTCTCATCCACAATTGGTAAAACATATTGATCTTTAATCCCACTAGAACTTGCTTTCTGGTCATAAAGTAAAATTGGTTTATAATCCTTACTACTTTGAACGCTCGATTCACAATTCGAAGACTGAAAAAAGCAATACAATATAGAATTACAGTCACCACCTCTAACAAAATTAACGAAAATTGCAATTACTTTTTTGTGGTTGATGAATAAAACTAAAGTGCAAAATATCACGACATAAAAAATTGCAATAAATAAATTATTTTTAACAGGTAAAAAACGAAATTCAAATATTATTGTTAGAAACCAATTAAAGATTTTTTTATTGTACTTTGATGATCGAATGTAAAATTTTTGAGATCTTACCTCTTTCGCGGATTTGATTGCTCGCATTTTTGTTTCAGTGTGATGTTGTTTTTCATGTAAAGCAAGACGTATTCTTATATCTTTGGCACTTACTTCAGCCTACAAAGTAATTAAAAGTAATTCAAAACTCGCAAATAGATAAATATTTGTAATACTTACCTTACTGATCGAATCTATTGTAACAAAAATTGTCTGTGTCGAACTAGTAAAAGTAACTTTAACATCTTTAAATTGGGGTATTCGTACGAAATGTTCATTATAAATATTTATGTTAATAGGAACGGACCACCGAGTTGAGGATATACCACCTATGTTTTAAAAAAGATAATTAAACATTTATATTGCACAAATTTGTTCAATACATCTCTTATTGAATAGATTAAACAAAAATTGCATTCAAATAAAGACCATTTTCACTCATTACGCAATAATTAAGATTTTATAAAACTCTGCTTTACCTTTGATGTCAGTGGCAATTACTAATTTTTCTGTTTCTGATTCAGATGCCAAGTCTGGAAATTTCTCAGAAAATGATGGTAAACTGTAATAAATCGTTTCGCCGTTATCTGCTGAGGTAATCCAATCGAAATGAGGAGCGTCACTGACAAAACATTTTCCAAACAGAGAATCAATTTTTAAAAACTGCGCAAAGTACAATCTTTTACCACTTCTGTTTTCTATACGCATCTGAGGATGCGCGTCATGATGTACAGAGAGGTAAGTTACTCCCTTGCGTTCTTGACAAGTAATTACTAATGGTATCTGCATAAATGAAATTATAACAGAGTAACAGCATTAAACTCTAAGTACAAATACTACTTTGCACATTAATATAATGTAAACATATACAACAGACTGTATGACTAAAATTTTAAAGATGTAATAGACAAAGTAAGTAAAAGTGTAAAGCTGGAAGAAAATTTTAGAACTCTTACAAACCAAACTACAAATGATTATATTAATTAGGTTAAGGGCAATTTCTACTAATGAAACAACATATTTGTATGCTAGTATAATACTACCTTATAAAATATTTTTTGATGATAATTTAGAAAAAAAATATGTTAACAAATGGGTTACACTTAATAATTATGTGCCATACTTTTGCTGAAACCTATTCATAATTAATTTAAATAATAACATCTGAGGAAATTTAAGTTGCGATTGTGTATATTCTGAATTATTATTTAAATTAATAATTTTTCTATATTTTAANGTAGCGTATTAAAATATAAAAAGCAACCTACATATGCGCCACACTTGATAGGAGTTTGGATACAACCATTTAATGGAACAGTTCCAATAATTTTGGGCATGTAAAATGCTTGGCTCCATTCGGAATTAGCCAACTGTAACGCTTGGGATAAATACTTTTTTTTACCCAACTCAACGCCCACATAAAAATCGCCCTTTCAATACAGAAATAATAAATTTTTTTAAAGATATGCAAAAATAATAAAATAATTACCTCCATTTTTGGAGGCGATATGATTCCTTGATGACGAACTGAACAAGCTTCCTCTTTATCAATTACTATTGTTATAGTACAACCCAAATTATTGACCAAAATACACCATGGTATTAGTTCAATCAATAAACAATTGGCATATGGGCAGACTTCCTTATAGTTTATCTGAATAATATATTAAAAGCCGCATTTATTAAGACACACTAGGTGTTCGTACTTAAATATACAGAAATGATATTCAAATTACATAAAAGCAATCACTTAAAACATAGCAAATTTTAATTTATATTATAATAAAGGTAATTGGATAATTTGTGATTTTAGTATTATTATTTCATTTGTTTTTATGCATTTTCTATACCTTTACATGGGTTATGGGCTGGTCTTCAACAATCCATTGAACATCATCCTGTTCATCGTCAAAGTATGGCCACCTCTGTTTTTCAAAATTAGACAGCATTTCAAGAACTTCGTTTATGTTTTCGTTATCATGTTTTTTAAATATTTCCTTCTGATCAACCAATGTGTAATTTAAAGGTACAACAGAATTGAAGGCAGGAATGCCATTACTGAAAAAACAATCGTTTTAAAATTGTTAACTATAAATTAAATGAAATTAAAACTTACTCAAAATGAAAAGAAAGCAAATGAGAGTGATCGCTTGTTCCAGGGCAGTACAACTGCTGATATTTTCCTTTGCCGTGTATAATACTGTTTGAACTTAACATTAAAGCTGGCGATTCAATTTTACACTGTGCGTCAATAGCTAGGTTGGATTTTATCATGAAAAGAGGCCATAATACTGCTAAATATTTTGTTTGCTTTCCGTATTTCTGAGTGATTATTTTACACCAAATACTTAGAAAATTATTGCGTTCTTGAAGAGGAACTAAAGATAAGAGTGTGTTTACAGAAATAAATAAAGTGGGGTAAATATGGGCTCTTACTGGGGTAAAAAGAGCTTTCTGAAGATTATTTTAATAAAATTTAGGATAACAACTTTATTGTAATTATTTCAAAATTTCGACAAAACATTTACTAGTACGCCAAACTTTAATAACCTTCTTATACAATGATCTTAGACCACTTGTTTGTTATATAAAACAAGTTGAACAACGTACCTTTAACAAGCCAAGGTTGTGCATTTCTTGTATTTATTTCTAGCGGTATGTTACCAGTCCATGCTGAATCCATCCCAAAAAATCTTAATCGAAGACAATATCGTTGATCGTTTTGTAACAACAAAGATGGAGCAGTGGTTCTACCTTCCACAATATGGGTTTGAGCTTTTTTATACCGATCTTTATCATTGTCCACGTTTTCAAATACTTTGAACTCAAAATTTTCAGTCAACATATTGCAAACAACCATTGTTCCAGTTATAATGATTTGTTTTTGAGTAGTGGATAATTTTTTTACTGTTATAAATAGTTTATAAGTACCACGAATACCAACAACTTCAGTACCTTCTTCGGCTACTTGGAATGGTTCCGACCAATCCCAATCGAAACTCTCAGCACTCACTCGAAGCAATTGTTTAAACTTAGCAGATCGCCAACAGTATAAATGGAAACAACGTGTAGAAAGAGAAATTTTTTCATCGGTGCTTTCTTGACCAAACACGATATTTAGATTTGTATCGTTGCAAATAATATAATTGGTCAGTACGATTAAATCTTTTGTAGGGATATCCTGTAATGTTTGACTCCACATTTGCATGCTTACAGCTAACGTATGACCAACGGGAGGTCCATATTTGATAGTTATAGGTTGTGCTATTACATTAATTTTTGTAGTTTTTGTTAAATCAAGTTCTATTTTTAAGGGAAAAGGTTCTAAGAGGGGTTGCAACGTTAAAAATGAATATTCCAATATAGAACATTTTACCATCATCGAGAAATCAATTAAGTGATCCTCATAATTTCGAGATAAAACATGCACTTTGCAATTGTCAAAGGAGATTATTGCAAAACACTGATCTTCGGGCATATTACCATCAAAACTGAACGTTTTTAAAGCGTCTGGCATTCTGTAGATCGCATCTCTGTCAAAGTGAGAATACAATGATAAACTAACAGAGTCAACGTTTATCGCTAGAGAAACGTCAGGTACTAAACTTTTACTGAAATAAGAGTCTATACGGAGACAAGCAGCCAATGCTTTGGGAGAGATTAAGAACTTACTGGGATTAATTATTTCGAAACAGTTTGGATCCTCGTAATTAATCGGATGCAAAACTACCCTCCAAATGCAGGCCACTGTTGGATAAGATTTATGTGTCGGAAGATCAACATAACACATCTCACTCTCGGATAAAAAGAACTGTGTAAACGGTTGATATGAACAATGACAATCCGCCCAATACTCTAAAGAACAGAGAACTTGCTGATCTTTAAACTTTTCCGAAGCTTCTTTGAACGGCACGGGGAACACCCGAACTTTAGTTAATACTCGTGGTTGAGGATATCGCCATGCCATTGCTGCTGTACTTTCGTCCCAAAACATTACTTGATATGGTAGAGGTAATTCATCAGGACTGTTCGTTGAGGCGTTAATAAATTGGAATGCTCCTGCGCGTAAATCGTCCTTGTAATGTTGTTCTTTTTCTGATGTGTTTGATTTTATGCTATCAGGATTGCTCTTAGAATCATTTGTTATTTCATTACCCTCATCACTATCGTTGTCGCTAGGATAGTTTGCAATAATTTCATAGAAATCTTCCATTAAAAATTGCATGCACTTAATGTGTTTAGAGCCAACATCAAAATGAATGTTGTCCGAATCGATCGATATTTGTACCTGAGGACTACTATCAACAGCTTGCCATGGCTCCCAAAAGAAACAACTTTCGACAGACATGTTACACGGATTTAATAAAATTATGTACTTGTTGTTATCTACTACACTAAATGTTATGTTTTCGATATTGATTACATTGCTTATTCGTTCCGGTCTGTTGGATATTGTTAAATAACTTTTAAAAGATCCCACAGTTAGTACGCCATCGCTGCCAGAATTTGTCTTCACAACCAGAACAAGTTGAGATACCTTCGCATTTATACCTGTCACTCCGAAAATCGTTTCTTTAAAACTTGTTAATTTGGTGTACGTTTCAGTTTTTTTATGAGTGGAATTAAAAGAAACCTCTTCAATTCCATATTCCCGTTTTACTAATTGTTCCGGTTTTGTCAAATATTCGGTTTTTAGTGCTATATCACTGAAACCGTCCAAAGACAAATTAAAGATTTTCATCATTTTTTCCTTAATCATCAAAAAATAATTCCACTGTTGTAAAGATAGCTCAATTTTAATAGGTTTTCCAAATTCCGCGTCTACCGTTGCAGTTTTTCCTAAACTTTTGTTCCATTTTAAAGTCAAAAACGCAGGTAAAACGCCGGTATCAGGATGTGGCATACCTGAGCGTGTCTCTAAGAGGTTAATTGGGAAGTTTTCTTCTTTTGGCACTTGGCTTAACGGTTTATAGGCTACACTACAACTTTTAAGTTTAACGTCTGATACAGATACCTGCATTTTTCTAGTGACTTGTTGGAGACTTGCAAAAAAGCTAGGTTGGTATATGTAGATAAATAAAAGGGGTGTGAAACTGCTCGTAACATGCTCGCTACTTTCGCTTCCTTCTTCTGATCCTTCGTAGCCTCTTTCGCATTCAGCCTAATAAAGGAATACAAATTAACAAAAATTTATTACAATCGAATTGACCTGATTGATCACTTACATCTATTAGTACAGGTTTTTTTGATGATTTTCTAACTTTATCTTTAGCAAGTGGGTCAACAACGTCATACAATGAAAGAGTCAGTTTTCCGCCCACAATTAACGTTTCTGTAGGAATATTTTGTTTTCCAATTTGCCACGGTGTTTGAGAAAAAAATCCAAATGATTTTTCACTTTGTTTTTTGTCGTATTCAATTTTAGCACAAACATCAGAGCATCCCTATAAATAAAAATAAAATTCAGCCACAAACATACGCGACATCGTGAAAAAAATTTTACTAGTGTTAAAGGTGTTGTTAAAGTGGACTAGTTGCTACGTTTTTCGGCCGTTTCAATTCCAGAGTCTCTTACTTGTTCCAATGTATCCGGTCTATCGTCACTTTTATGGTCATCTCTCATGCTTTCAATCTTTACCTGAGGTCGTTTCAAAACCAAATCGGCAACCATAAATGACTTCCAAATACATAAAAATTCATTCATTAGAACCCATAAAAGGTTGATTTGATTCAAGGAAATGGATATGTCGACATCAGAAGCAAAATTTATTTCTAATGAATGACCACAAACGACAGTATCTAACTTGTAAACCATCGCCGGAGCAAATATTATGGAAATATCGAATCTTTAAGAGTAAATTGCTTTATAGGTGGAAAATAAAATTTTAGCTATTAGTACTTTTTAATGATTGGCCAAAAATTGAAATGTGGTCCAGAGTTTAGTACACTTTTGCCCAAATTGTTCCACTCAAGTGCTGGATTTTCACTCATTGTCTTTAGTAGGCAACCCTCTTTTATATTCACATTAAGAATGGTCAGTAAGTCTTTCCAAAGACACGTGCCACTGGAAATCCCGACGATGTCTAATTGATACTGGCGATCTTCTATATCACTTCCTAATTAAAATTATAATGATATATGTTCAACAATGGAGCGTTCCAGAGGAAATTAGAAGGTTACCTTAGGCATTAAGAAGTATTTTTTGTATGAAAGTTTTTGGTCAGCTGTTAGTATTTAATCTCTCAAAATATTACTAAATTAAGAAAATTAATTTAACAGCATCTTAAAGTTCTGATAAAATTATTCTTAAAACTTTCAGATAAAAAATCCACATTTTACTAGATAAACTGTTTTTTTTATACCTGGAATATTTAATTGACGTGTCCTAGCTCCCTGTTGATAGATATCAGGTCTACATGGTGTTCGAATTATAGGATTTACAGCGCTAGGAGACAACGTTATATCGTCTATTTGAAAAATACAAACATCCTGTACGATTCGTTTGTCTTCCAGTTCAGACGATGGTAACACCAAACGAATCCCTTCTATATGTAAATAAACTAATGGTAAATTTTGATTATTAAAATTTAATAACAAATCGTTGTCTGGTTGAACAAAAGTTGCCTGTTGTGGTGCATTTAATAACGGTTCCAATACCATATAAAAATCACGTAACACTGTAAAAGGAAGAATTACATCGATCGGTAATATAGTAAGATCGATTTCTGTGATGAAACGCATCTCAGCACTTTCTTCTTTTTCTTCTTCATTCTGTTCAATTTAAATAAAAATTTTGATAAGATGGTTATTTTATGTTAAAAAATGTATATTTACCTTCAATTTTGATTTATTTTTCAACTTTGTACCCCAAAGTGCATGGGTATGTTTACAACTAGCCCTGGTTATAGTAAGCGAAAAAATATCTGAACTGTCTTTAGTTTTTTCAATGCCAGTAATATCACGCTCTTTCATTAATATTCCCAACACTTGACCTGGTTTCCACTGTTTGTAATTATTACTCCTATATTATATTAAAAACACAACAGTAAATAAGGAAAACGTGCTTATGAAATTATATATTACTTTAATGATAGCTATATAAGCGATCTTCGCTTTACGTCAAGTTAAGTACTAAAAGTCAGTGAAGTAAATCAGGAAACTTTTTATATAAACACGATACATGCACATTTATGATTATGATAAGAATGATATTGACGTAAATCGAGAACAGTTTGCAAAAGTGTAATATATGCAATTTTGTTTATTTTTGGCGTTACCTTTTGTAATGACGAATATTAGCAGAAGCAATTTTACTTTTAACTTTTAAATAAACTCCTTGGCAATCAAATGAACTGACAATATCTTCAAAGTCAAATACCATTTTTAAATTGGGAGGATGACTATAAGATATGTCATCAGAGTATAAATCCACTGCGTCATATGCGAGTAGTTCGATTGTAACTCGAGCAATTGTCCACTGAATCCATGCTGACCATTCGGTCTTGCCAAGACTGGGTGATTTATCTACAATTAACGGCTGATCACTCGGTGATTCTACGGTACTTTCGTGTAAAACGGGAGATCCGGTAGACGCTTCCGAAAAGTAAGGGACAATCTCAGGTATTCTTGGTTCAATAGTTTCCTCCATCCATAAATTAAGTTTATTTAAAAATCCGTACGCAATGTTTGTAATTAAACAAACCTAAATTTATAAATATGTAGCATTTGAAAACTCTGTAATTTTGAAAATTTCTTACCTGGGCTTCACACAATGAAACAACTACAGGTTTCATGTCAAAATGAACACAAACATTTAAGGATTGCACATCTTCGTTACTCTCTACATCAGGTGATACATTGCTAGTGCCTATCACGTATTGTAAACGATTTTTAATTGGAAACCGAACGTTTTCAACCTCCTCATCTTTCGCAGTTGTCCTGCATATTGGTCCAATGGCTTTAGATTTTCCAGAAAATCCAACAGTAGCATCAAAGGATACATTTTTGATCATATATAGCTGTTTTGCTTTTTGTATAGTGTAGCAACACATATTATCCACGGAAATGTACCAAGGAAAACTGCTTTTACCTAGACCAGTAATATATTTTGCTGTTAACACTAAATAAATAAAAAAGTTAGTTACCACCTTCATTCCATAAATAACTCGGAGTGTCAACAGGTAAAGCTTTGATGTACCTAGACAGGGTTTCGTAGTTAATAGTACTTTTCAAAGATATCTCGGGGGAGATAAGTACTAATAAATCAGGAGGATTTTTTCTTTTCAACATTTTATGAACAGCTTGTTTAATATCTGAAATATCGATTAATGTATGTATATTAAACTATAAAATTCCACTAACTATGTGACTTACTTTGAGATCCAATAGCTGATAAGGAAGTCATAGGTACGTAAATTACACAACGGTCAATACGACCGCAGACCAAACTAGAAACCCAAATATTGCTCCAATATTTTAAAAAGTCAAGGACTTGTACGGATTCCTAATAATATAGAAAGTACATATAATAATAAAAATATATACGTATAAATGTAATGATATTACTTATTTCAGATTAAGAGTACCTAAATATAAAGGGAACTTTAAATAAATAAATATATAAAGAACACTTCTTACGTCTTTAATATCGGTTTCTTTCGATTCCTTTGGCAGTGATGTAGTTCTGTGCAAATGCTCTCTATCAGAACTACTATGTACTGACTCATGAGGGGTATTCATCTTACGAGATGTCTCAACATTGCTGCTTGTCTCGGAAACCGTTCTAGGTTTTCGATGAAAATGTTCTAAACAAAATTACAAATTAAATAATTACCTTTTATAACACTATTTAAAATTAAAAAAAATTAACAACGAAAGGCACCAAATACTAACAATCAATCACTTTTTTATTATTATTGATTAATTAAATGTAAGTATTAAGAAATGGGCACAGCATAATTAAAAGCATGAATACAGCTACAAATTATAAAACAAATTAGCGTTTTATAAATATTTTATTTCAAATTGTTATCACAAATTAGGATCATCCCAAAAAATGAAGCAATACCGTCAAAATGTTATTGCTCCGCTATGTGTTATGGGGATAATTGTTCAATAAAAAAAATAAAGTAATTAAAGGAAATACATTTTATTACCAGAAGTCCCTTCTGCTTTTATTTGCGTTCTTTTAGGACTATAACACAGCCATTTAAGAAGCAATGGATCACAACAGAACGTTATCTCCTGCATATCAAAGATACAAAGGGGTGCGTGCACTGGTTTGTCTGGTAGAATAGGAAACTGTACGGTAAATGAAAAGCATGGTTTCTTAAACTCTTCACCTCTAAAAAATCTCGCCGATTTAATATAATAACAAACATTAAAACTACTTTAACACTTACTCTTCAGCTATTTCGAATTCTGGACCTGATATAAACATCACCTGTTGAATATCGGCAAAATGAACTTTTTTAGGGGTGGACGGTTGTATGGTGTCCCCAGAATTTGCTTCATAAGCCCTAGATTCGAAATTAGCCTGTTCAAAAACGAACCCTTTTATGGAATCTAAACTCGCATCAATAGAAACTGTTGAAGATGTGGATACTTTTTTAAATCGAACATTTTCGATCGACAATTCTGCATAAATCATCCCTGTTGAAAATGTTGTTTTTATTAATATTATTTTAGTTCAGAATACTACAGAACATTACCGTTTTCTTTTGTACTGTCTTTCAATAATGATGTGTTTAAAATTGATTTAACATTTTTTTGCTTTTCATCTTTCCATTTCCAAAATGAGTCGATAATGAAAATAGCTACCATAAGTTTAGCTTTGGTTCCAGTAATCGAAAATGTTTCTAAAAAAAAAAAGCAAAAGCTGGGTAATTGATTAAAAGAAAAACAACATGCATACATACCCGACTCAAAGAGAAAAACTTCATGAATTACGTTTGGATTAACCCAATACTGAGGTTTCAAAATATTTTTATAATTGGAAGATGCATTGCTTGGAGGTATAATTATCATATACTTTTTAGATTCGAGAACAAGCTTGCTCTGAAATCCCAAAACCTTTGTACTCACAATTTGATAACATGCTTCAAACATGTGCTGGGGAGGGTCAGGTAATTGACTGGTTGTAACTACAAGACGTTTTTCGTACATTGGATTTTTTATTGTAATATCAATACACTGACATTCTAGGGTTAAATGAGGCAGATTTTTTTGTAATTGTGCAGAAGACGAGGGCAGTTTCTACAAAAATAAAATCATGAATAAATACCCTTTATTTTATTTTCAATCTCACCTTTCGTTTAAAAAGAACCCCTTTAGAAGGCACAAAAAAGGGATGATCAAGTAAGTGTATCTGTATCACAGGAGCCACAAATGTAATTTGCATAGTCCTTACTGGAATGTTTTCATTAAGTGCATCATAATCATCAGCTGAAGGAGGTGGAAGTTCAGAAAATGCCGGTTCTGGTTTGGGAACGCTGTAAGGGAGATAATCGTACGCAGATAATGCTTGTAATAAGCTGCTAAAGCGATGAAGAAATCCAGAACACAATTTAAAAAAAAATGGTCCAAATACAATCCTCAAAATGGCCCTCTCGGCAAAATCACTAAAAGTAATAAATATCATATTACACATTATCTCTAAATAGAAAAAACAAAGTTATCCGGTGGCGTAATAATCGAATGATGGATCGTTCCTTTCCTTGGAATACCATTCATGTTTACAATACACGTGTTAACTCAATAATGTTTACTATGGTAAATTAAACGAGCCTATTCTTTATTGCTATTTTGTAGTATTTGAAAAAGCTTACAAAGGTTATTTAATTGACACGCATGCCTATCTTGCACATAAAAGCTAGATTGTAAATTCAGTTTTGGGTTTGGCAGATATATACATATATGAGAACTTGTAAATACCCCAAAATACTATAGTTAGCATGCAGTACCTATATTCACGATTATTTGAAAGTTCCAATAAAACTTCACTACTGGTATCATCTGGTATATCTATTTGATGTATAAGATCAATTGCAAAAGCAGGTGTTTTTTCTAAAAGCACAGCCTCCGTAATCGTTGTCAAATGGTAATCCCAGTCTAAATTAGTATATGATTTTCTACGACCTTTATTTTCGACAGCATTTGAATCGAACAACGAATTTTCCTTGTATAATTGACTAGGTGAACCTATTGAAAAAAAGAGAAACACATTAGGAAAATCGGTCAACAAAAATATTTAATTTATTATTTGCCTGCTTTTAAATACTCAGGAGGGTTCGATCCTTCTTGAAACTCAGTGTGCGAACAGCTACATGTTCCTAATGGAAAAATCACAATTTCACTAATGCCTAAACTTGTGCGAGACCACTTGATTTCGTGCATTATGGTATCCATGAAAACACCTTGCAAATGAAGTGACAGAAGAGGCCAATATCTAATTCTTCGCTGGGCATAATAGCCCTTCTCATTTTGATGTTCTAAGACCTACAAAAGTAACATAACAAATTAAGAATACATAATATATATATAAATCAAAACTTNACTGTATACAATTTTTATTGAAATTAACTTCTATCCGAAGTTATTTAAATATGATCTGTGACATCTGTGACGATTCTATGATTCTAATTATCCGTAGATTAAAGAAAAAAATGACTACCCATCTATGATCATAATTGTAACTTAATCTGTGATCCTAGTCATAGATAATCCTAACCTTTTTGTTTTGTTTTTAAAGAGTTTAATTTTTATGTAAAAATTTACAATTCGTAGATTATTAGTTTTGTGTACTTGAAAATGTCTATATGTACATGATTAAATAAAATCTTTTTATGCGGTATGCAAAATAGAGTAAAAAAATAAAATATGGTGAAATTTATAATTTGTTACCTTAAATGTAATTGAAATATTGTCAACATAAACACCAATTTGCATTGTATGACCAGCATAAACTGCTTGATGTTCATCATTTTCTTCATCCACTGAGATTAATGATGGTATAAATGACCAAGCCCAGCTGGCCCATGATTCTTGACTTTCCTGATTTTCTGAAATTAAAACCTCTACAAAAAAATAAAATAACTGCCAAATATATAAAAATCATTTTGTACCTTCACTATCCAATGAAAACGCTGTAGAGTCTCTTTTTGTAGTTTCCGGTTTTAGTTCTTTAGATGCCAATGCATTTATCAGTTTCAAAATTCGCATTAACATTGGAATTTGTGTTTCAGTCGCACTAAACTCTAAACTGTAACATGTATACAATTACTGAAAATTTATAAGACAACAAAATTTATACATATTATGAAAAATACAATCAGGAACATTAAATTATTCTCAACTGTGAGAGATTCATTTCTTGGGCTTAATGGTTGTGGTTTGAATCGAATTGAGTCTCGATCGCGTAGTCTACATAAAAATAAGCCCTAAGGATGTCTACTATGGTTACTGGTAAAACGTTGGACGAATAACTTCAACCAAGAGAGAACTATAAGACCACAAACATAAAGCTCCAAAAGAATATACCATTTGCTGGTTTTTAATTTTTACCTATCACAGTAAACATCTAAACGTGTATTTGTGGGACGTTTTGATGTAGCAGAATGATAATATCTTAACATGTAAAGTGTTAAAGAACATCGATATAATACTGGTTCTTGGTATACATCAATCTTTCCTGCAGCATTTCGTTTATCTAAACATATGGTCAGGTCAGACACATTAATAAGTTTTCTTGTCACCTTGTTTTGAGATACATCTACAATTAGATAAAATAAAATTAATTAAATTCCTCCTTGAATGATGTTCTGCCAATGAATTAATAGATAGTCTATGAAGAGAACATGTTTTAGTGGAAAATTACAAACTTGAAAATTAACAAATTCTTTTAAGAAAAAATATTTTATAAAGATGTTTGGCAATAAAAGCTAATGTTAAGTGTTTATGACATTTTTATACAATTAAAATTTGTTGTAAATGTATTGTACTGCTTTAATCCAAAAAATTTTCAAGTCATATTTTTAGCAAAGATCTCATGGCCCCCAACCTCAAAGGATTCTAATTTGGATCCACTAATATTTCATATAATTAACAATGATTTTTAATACAATGTTTACAACTTTTCTTTGCTGATAACTTCAAAATATTTACTAATAGTAAGATTGATTTTTTAACTAAAAATTGAGTTAAGTAAAATTCAAATCTAATGTATATAAATACATTTGATATTGATAGGCTAAGCATAAGGAGAAAATACATGCCATTGCCTTTACTACACAAACTATTATGTAATAATGTTCCATTCAGTTAAATCAAATAAGTCTATGTGTCTAAACAAAATATTGCTTTTTAATCAATTACCATAAATACTAAATTAATTAATGTAATTACCAATATATCCCGATTCCCAATTATCATTAGCAGATTCAAAAGTTAATAGTTTAACATTCATTGATAACACTATGTCTTCTTCAACATATTTTAATATTAAATTATTGCAATATATTTTAATGTTATCCACAATTTTATTTATTAATGATTGTACATATCCTGGTGGTGCCTCAATTTCTTGCCTTAAAGTGCAAATATAAGAATAGCAATAGTATCAACACAATATTACAATATTACCTTTTACTCAAAGATCTTTTTAATTTCTCTTTTGCTTGATTTGATTCAAAACTAGCATTACTTGAAGAAGTCTTCAACTTTAAAATGCACTCTAAAAGAAGTTAATAAATACACAAGAGTTAAACTCTAATTTGTCTGAATTACCAATCGTATTGATGGTTATTGTTATTGGTTCAGATGTTATTTTTGTCCAAGGGACATGGATTAATAATTCATGAATATGGCCAGACACAAAAGTGAATGGTAATTGCAATTCTTGTTCAAGTACTTCAAGTCGTAAATCTAAATTGTGAAAAGAGGCATCACCTCCCCATAGTGATAGCTACAAATATTGAAATCAACCAAAATTTAATTAAAATAACATTGGATTTTAAACCTGAGAATCTTCAGGACGGAAGTTCTTAATATATTTATCAACGTAACTGAGCAGAATTGGAGTAATGTAAGATTCCAATTTAAACATGCTGTTATCACTTAAGTGAATATAACCAATTTATTAATAAATCAACTTGGCATTTTCCTCGAAGCGCTTCTGTTAATTAAGTGCACATATGCATCTATTTATTAACGAATATAATAGGTACTCAATTCCCAGTTTTCTTCTACAACAAACGCATGCTACAAGAATAAATAAAAAACAAACATGAAAAGTGAAAAACTTGATTTTAAAAACACGTCAAAACGACGACCACATGACCTTCGCAATTGTCAAGCCCATAGGCATAGCCCTTTCGTCAAACCATAGATTAAGGTCAAACCATAAACAGTATTCATTGATTCATAATTCATATAATAATGTCTAAAGAGTATAAAACAAACAAAAAAAACAATGGTGGAAAAATAAAATTTTTAATCACTTTAATGAATTATTCCTAATATTGAGATACTTTTGCTTTGAGTAACTGTATACAATTTTTATTGAAATTAACTTCTATCCGAAGTTATTTAAATATGATCTGTGACATCTGTGACGATTCTATGATTCTAATTATCCGTAGATTAAAGAAAAAAATGACTACCCATCTATGATCATAATTGTAACTTAATCTGTGATCCTAGTCATAGATAATCCTAACCTTTTTGTTTTGTTTTTAAAGAGTTTAATTTTTATGTAAATAGTTATTACAATAATGAAGGTAATTAATAGGCAATAAAATTTTCTAGATGTAAATTAAAATTTGAAAATGATTGAGTACATTTTAAAATGATTTTTTTCTTCATTGTACTGTTACAACTACAATTCTTATCTTCAAATGCATCAAATGGAGATAGGTCTCCTTTTTTCCAAAGATGCGTAGAAAAATGTAAAATGGAAGATTGTTCTTCAGGTAAAGTACTTATTTTATTTCTTCACTACTAAATCTTTTACCTTTATAGATGGACAATCGTTTAAAGTTAATAACAAACAAACATTCATTAATAAATTGTTTATGTGGTCATGCAGCGATGAATGCACTTATCAGTGCATGTGGAAAACTGTAACAGAATTTGAAAACAGAAAATGGCCAATACCTCAATTTTATGGAAAGGTACTTTTATTTCTTTAACATTACATCATAACATTAATGCTGTTAATTTTGTAGTGGCCATTTATCAGAATTTTAGGATTACAAGAACCAGCATCAACATTGTTTTCCCTTCTTAATCTAGTTGCTGTAATTTTATGTTACATTAAATTCAAGAAAGTATTAAAGAAGGACTGTCCAATGTACAAGGAATGGACATTTTTCTCATATGTAAATTGATTTTGTCATAGTGATAAAGTAAAGACATAAAGTATTATTTTTTGAAGGTGAGCATTAACACTTGGATATGGTCTACTATTTTTCATGCCAGAGATTTTCCATTTACAGAAAAAATGGATTATATCTGTTCCTTCTCAGTAGTTTACTGTCTCTGTTTTTGCTTGACTTGCAGGTAATTATTTTACATTTTCAAATTGTATTTAGATTCATAAGACTAAAGAAGTATTTATATTGCAGATTATTTAATGACCTTCCTCCAATATTACTCTATCTAATTGGCTTTGGGTATTTGCTCTTTTTTTTGAATTACACAGCCTATATCCTTATCAGTTCAATCGATTATGGTTTTCATGTAAGGCTGAACTTTTTAATAGGTAATATTTACTTTACTTTATTATTCTATTTATGTATGCATAATTGTCTTATGATTAGACTTTTTGTATATGTGAAATTCTTATTTTTTTTACAAATTTTTAATTTTAATTTTANATCATTAATTAATTAATCTAATCCACAATAATTTGATTTCATTTTATGTAATATAAATTAAATGTGAACATCGTCAATCATCTAAGCATCTTAATTTTGATACTGTACTTTATGTGTTGTAATTTATTATTTTAGATGGCATAGATATCTAAACTGATCATTTTTTTAATTAGATGTACTACAAAAATTAAACAGTATTTCACTTATCTATGATAAATACTTTCGATAGAGAATTAATACTTATGTTTATTGAATTAATTATTTACTGTTTCTAACTGTAGCCTTCATTTTCCTTTTATTTTGTTTAAGGTATTCCAACTGGATTAATATGGTTTTGTTGGTGTATGTACAACAGTAAAAGACAACCTTATGTTGTAAAGATGGCAGCATTTGTGACATTAGCTTCATTAGCAGCATTATTAGAAGTTTTTGATGAACCCCCGATGTATTACATATTCGATTTTCATTCCTTCTTTCATTTAGTTTCAGCTCCACTAATTCCTTTACTATATGGGTAGGTTGTTGTTTTTTTTTTTATTTTAAGGGGCCGTTCATATATTACGTTTTTCCCACTTTTTGGACCCCCTCCCAAATCTCGCTTTGTCGTTCTGTTTCTGTTTTTTTATTAATGGTTGATTATTTTAAAAACCAATATTCATTTAACAGCATCCTCAGAACAATTTAAAATCATATTGTACTATAAAACAGTCTTATAAAATTAAAAACGCAATGTTTAAAAAATACTCATAAGAATTTATTAAGTGATTAGCTTGATAAATCTTGCTCCATGCACACATATCGGTCAAATATATAATGGCAAATTTCCCTCCCCCCTCTATTTTTACACTTCGTCACGCTACCCCCTAAAAACGTAGCTAACATTAAGAAAAATGTCCTTTCTTTTAGTAGTAGTAGTTGTATATATTTTACTGTTAGTATTATTTTCTTTGTAGTTTCATCATAGACGACTGCATATTCCTCAGTGAAGTTAAAGATACAGAGAAGAAAAAAAAGCCCGTTTAATGTTATTTTTACTTTGTTGTTTTATATTAGCTTCAAGAAGGAACTCATAACGTTTTGCTGTCCTGAATCACCTTATTGGTACTCGATATTTTGCTTAATAAACACTGTTTTTTAAATTATTGGTTGTATGATTCATTAGTATTAAATCTGTGTTACAGCAGTCATGTTCACAAAAATTTCTGCCTTTTCGGCTATCTGTAACTTTGACAAGCACCTTTTTATAAACAAACGAAATTGGAATCCTTTTTCCAAATGATTGTGAAATCCTGCTTATTTATCCCAAGATTTAAAAAAGTAAACATTTAAGAAAAGTTATCTATTTTTGAAATTGGCAGTGAAGGAAGTGTTAATAATTATCGTTAAACGATTATATTAGCACCTACAAACTTTAAGAGAAATTATAAGAAGTGAATTTTACAGTTTTACGGGACTGTGTAATAAATAAATTATTAATCATAAAAATCTGGAACATAGTGTCTTAAAGTGTTGAGACATCATGAAAGAAAACAAAAGGAAAACTGAATGGTAAATTAAATATTTTAAATAAATTTCATTTCAATCATTTTTTTTATATGTAGCCAACATTGTTTAACTTTTTATTTTGATTAATACAATTATTTAAGATGTTACGAGTTACTTCTACCTTTTTATTCAACTTACGACAATAATAAAAAACCTTATAATTTAATATATTATTAGATACATATATATTTCTAAAATTACACTAAGAACACTTGGAACTGGTTTAATGCATTATTAATGAAAGTTTTGTACAAAGTGTGTGAAAGTTCACACACATAAAATATTTAATCATCGTTTATTCGAAATTATTAATAATATCTTCGGATATTTTATACAGACATACTTAACAGTTCCATGTATAGTAAGAATATTTGTTTAGAAAACTAACTCCTCTATATTTTTTATGGTGTTATAGGTACTTCTTTGCTAACTTTATATAGTCGAAAGGAGGGGGGCAGGTAATAAATCTGTAGGTCTAAAATCTCTAACTGCCTCTTTTCATGTGCTTATTTGTATGCTATTAAGACACAAACGACTTTAAAAAATGTTTTACCTGTCTGGACTAAACTTCGAAACGATCGAACTGATTTCGATGGAATTTTATAAACGTGGTTGTAAGGAGTAACTTAAGCTACTTTTTTTTTTACCAATCAATAAACTTCGCAATCAATTGCTTGTTGTTTCTACTGCGCTGTCTGTACTTGACAGCAATCTGCAACATAATTAAAAATAACTCCCTACTCGACAGGGGGGTCGAACCTCCTGAAATCACTGGTAGCTATGCCCCTGCACCATACCGCCTAAGTTAAAAATTTAAATTTAAAAAATTAAATTTTGCTAACACAGTGACCGTAATCGTTAGGTACTGATTATTTTCCAATAAATTTCATGCTCTAGGTAAGAGATTATTATAATTGCCAATTTAAGTACGTTCTACGTTTATAAAAAATAGAGTGCGCGTCGATTGCTCTCAAAATTAACGCCATAATAATACATGCACTATCCCGAAATTTTTTGTTTAAAAAAACTCAAACATGTGAGTATCTCGTGTACTTATATGTATATGATCATGTGCAGGAAACTCGAAAACATTGAAAAGTACAGGGTCGTTTTGAGTAAAATCATCGAGTGAGACTCATAGCGAGGCACCATGAACATCTAAGTTATTTTTTATTGTAAATTATACAGAAACCCTATACCTTCATGAATAGTTATTTTACTATTTATCATAGGAATTAATACGATTCCATGATAACCAATACGTTCAAGTTCTTTATCATCAATAATAATAAATGTATCACCTTGCTTTTTACTAATTGTTAACACATCGAGTAAAATAGTCGATCATTTTATATAAGAATGAAAGAACATATATTAGAAATAAATCTACCACAAGAGATGTTATCTCTGAATGTTTTACTAAAAGTGATAACAACATAAACAAAGAAAATGCTTTATTAAAGTTATAAATTCAACTTATTTAAAATAAGTTTAATTAAAAAATGCTTTTGTAATTTAAAAATGGCCGTTACAAATGCTCCAGTGTAAAATTACGTTGGTGATTATCCTATAATTACATTGGGTTATTAGATATTTGTTTCTCAAAACGTAAAAAAGTTGATCAAATGCGATTCGAACGGAGCTTTAGTCCTTAAAATGAAGGAGAAGATATCAATTTTTCTAAAAATAAAAATATTTCAGTTCTAAAAAGTGGCAAAGATATAACTTTAAACTAAAAAAATAATCTTTTGCCACTGTATGTCTATCCGAAATGTTCTTATGTCTTTAATGACATTAAACTCGTCTTGATTATACTTGCAGGTTAAAAACTGGCGTTTACAATGTGTATCCTTGTCTACCTTCCTTCCTAGTGCTTATTTACTACCCTAGGGTTTCTGAATAAATTAATAATTAGTTTGTTATGGATAAGTATGTAAGTATCTATAAATGACGTTTATTTTTCATGATGCCTCAATTAAAATAAACGTAAAAATGTCTTTCATTTTCGCTTGACTACGAAACAATAAATACATAAAGGAATATAATATACTTTTTATTAGGTCATTATATTCTCATAAAAGAGCGACTGAGTTTTTGGCGCGTGTCAAGGTTTCAAGAAAGTTTTACTGTAAATTAAAATGGATCCATAACTAATCCAAAAAGGTTCGGTCGTCGGGATAATATAAATTTTTTAAATAAAGTGAGCTTGAGAATTTCGAGTTTTATGCAAATAAATAATAAATTAAACAGCGACAATATCATAAGCAATTTCGATAAATCATCGACCAAAGTGAAGTTACTCGTAAAAGCAAGTTTATTAAAATATCAAGTGCTTATGGCGTGCTGATGATAACTTCGAAATCCTGATTCACGTCTAGCAGTATCGATAAATTGCTAACCAATAATAACATAATGAAAGCTAAATAAATGCTAAATATAGGTATTATATGAAGAGAAAAATTGGAAAAATTGCCCAGAAAAACTTAAAAACCAAATTGGACTTGAACACAGCTCAAGCGATTTGACTGACTTATTTTTTGTTATATTTGTAATTGTCAGGACAAGGTTTGTGTGAACGAAAATTTTTGGACAATACACGGGAAAATCCCGGAAATTTGGATAGTATTTTTATATGGAAAAGTCTTCATGTTATAAGCTTTTGGTCAGATTTACATGAAACCTGATGTTTATGTTCATTGGCATAAAATCAAACACATATTTCAGCATTTTAAAAAATTCGATCTCTGAAAGGGGGTGAAAAGGGGTTGTAACGTTTATGTACTAGATATTTAATTTATAGTCAGATTTACTTGAAACTTGGCTTTAATGCTCTTTCATTAAAATAAGTGATACAACTACATACCTATTTCAACATCTTAAAAAATTCAACCTCTGCAGGAAGCTGAATGAGGTTTGAAAAGATTACATGGAACATTTTTATTTTTTGGTTCGACTTGCTTGAAACTTGGTTAAGAAATCTCTGTGGGGGAGGGGTGAAAATGAGTTGCAATGTTTGAATGGGACATATATTATTTGTGGTCAGATTTACTTGAAACTTGGTCTTAATGGTCTCTCTATTAATTTGTGAAACACCTATCTCAGCATTTTTAAAAATTCAACCTCCAAAGGAGGGGGTAAAAGGGATTGCAATTTTTGTTTGGTATATATTTTTATTTGTGGTTGAATTTACTTGAAACTTGGTATTTATGCTCTTTGACATAATTAAGTTGCAACGTTTCCATGGAATACATTTTATTTGTAGTCGAGTTTACTCGAAGGTTACTCTTAATACTTAAGCAAATACATGTTTTGGCAATTTTTAAAAATCAACCCTTAAGGATCAAATGTTGTTGGTACGTTTGTATTTAAAATTTAAGATGACGACATTACATAAAATTAAAACTTTGTAGGGTTGAATTAGGAGTTAAAAAGTTTTATGGAGAAATAATATTAATCTCTGACAGCTAAGCCGCGAAGAAAAGCTAGTAGATAATAAATCCCTATTCGTCTAAGAAAAACATATTTCAGAAGTCAAAATCATTCGTTCAATAAAAAATACCTACATCGTAGCACTTTAAAAAAAATAAGGTGAAATTTCCAACACATCACAAATTTTTCGATTCTCCAACTGATTCTTTTCAAAATAGCCACTTCACGTAAAACGTTTCAAACGTTTTAATCGCTCAGAAAAGGGGAAATTAACGTTATTTCTACTTGAAACCCGCAAGTTGATAACAAAATAATGTTCTATATGCAACATTATCACAACATTATCGTTAGTTGTTCGCGGTTCATGGCCCGCACGTTTCTGTTTCTGGCTAATGAAAAAACATTTTTTGTTGTGCTGGCGTGGGCTCTGTTAATGCCAAACCCTTTGCTAGCTTTTAAATGTATCTGCATAAAAGAGGGTGAATTAGTTTGTGAAATTTTGAACTCTACCTTTTTGTTAGTTGTATAATATATATACTGCTTTTGAGTTTAAAGTGAATTAAAAAATACTGAGTAAAATGAGAGTTTGTAGGAGTATATATACGTTTACCTAAGCTAATAATCTGGTAAAAGTTTTATTACTTCTTTTATTATTGACTTTGTGCCCGCGGCTTCGCTCGCTTGGATTTGAGTAAGAGTAATATTTTATCAATTTGTGAATTAAGCGACAGACACTTTTTAAACCTCTACAATTTTTCTATGGAAAACATTCAAGTATCTCTTCCGGCTAATAAGACAGCGTTCGTATAAAATGCATTTGCTCGACCGATTTTTCGGTGACTTACATCGCAATATTGGTCTCCACGATAAATTCGTACATCCACCCTGAAGGTTTATTGTAAAAACGGGTGAAAAAAAAATTGAAATCGGATGAGTAGTTTCGGATATAAAAATGATATAGCTTCATATATTTATTCTATTATTTTTCTTAACTTCATGTTTATTCCTTTTTCTTCCATTATACTCCATATTTTCTTTCTGTTTATCCTGTCAAAGGCTCTCTTCATTTCAGCAAAGAATAGGAAGTTTTCTCATTTTTCTTTCTTTATGTACGGTCAAAATCTGTTATAACGACACGGAAGGGACTACTCATATTTGGTCGTAAAAACCGATAGTCGTAATAGCCGGTGACGTTGCCATTAAGTACTTAATACCTATTATTGAATGTGTGATTAATATATTCATATATAAAATAAAACTACATTTTATTTATTTTACATAAAACTTATTATAAAAAGACATTACGTACATATAATTATCATTTTTCTACAGCATTGAAACCATCATTCAAAGTTGGCACTGTAAATTGTTCTTCAGTCTCTTCCTGTTCGTCATTTTCCTCTTGAACTTCTTGTACAATATCATCTTCCGTAGCTAATGCACAAATTGCAACAGAGTTATCTACATCAATAACTCCTTAGCTTCAGTAGCAGATATTCTGAGAATTACAATAGACCCTAAATTCGACACGTTTTTGTTTACTTTTGTGATCTTAATGGTCATTTACTGTATCAGATATGGATACTGTTACCTATTCTAACAGATATAATTCTCCGAAAATATCAGTTAAATGTAGTCGCTTAAAGAGATATGTCGTAATAAGCAATGTCGTAAAAACCAGTGTTTTTTTATAAAGCGGTCTAACAGAATTAAGCCGGGACCTATGATTTTGGTCAATATAACCGGTATGTTGTTCTAAACGATGTCGTAGTAAACGGTTTTGACTGTATTTGTGTATCATCATGAGATTCTTCACTTCCAATTCTGTCTCGAGCCGATTTTTTAGTATCTCGCGTATATTTTATATCCAGTGTCCATAAGTGTAATTCCTCTATAATTTTTTGCCTCGTCTTTGTTGTTTTCTTTTTGTATATTGTAAAAATTAGTTTTCCAAGATTTATAAAAGTACAGCCCACTTCACTTTGTGCCGCCCGTTCTTGCTTTCAGAGCTGTGTTCGGATGCTGGTAAAATTTAACCGGATATCGAATACGGATATCAGCAATAGCATCCGGATACCGGACATAAGATAAGGACGCTTGCAAAATGTTTCCTGAATACCTGTAGTAGTAGCAGTAGCATTTATTAAACAAAAGTTATACATGTATTTATATAAAAACTATCACATAAACAAGATATACCATAAACATAAACGATTATCATATACCCAAATAAAAAATGTTCTTATTCCTTAAAGCCTTCGTCTAATTTTTAATTTGAAATAAAACAAAATTATACTCTCAGCTCCTCTTGATCTCCTATTTTCTTTCTTAAATTTTCATTTAATAGAATCGCACCCTTGTCGTCAGTTCCTGAATTCTTTGTATTCAATACCTACTTTATTTTTCACACCCTCTTCCTACCACATCACTTAAACTTCTGCATATTCCACATTTTTTCTCTTCCTTTTGCAACCAATATTTATTCTCATTGTGTTCGTTCCTCATTCTAAACCTTGTTATAATTTTTATATCCTCGATTTCTCTCTCAAACACTCTGGTCTTATATATTCCTATCAGTCTTCTCACAGTTACCTCTTCATCCCTTCTGTATATTTCGGCCTTTGTATTCTTCTCTCTTATTGCATCGTTTTCTTTATCATATTACCTATATTCAATCCCTTATTTTTCCATTCCATAAATTGCTCTTTATTTATTATTATTTTTCCCAACGCTTTTTTTCTTTCCTCATCATATCGATTTCTCATCTCAAAACCCACGATTTGTTTTCCCCATACCTTTGTTCCTGTAAACACTCCAATTTTTCTCATATCTGATTGCTTTCTCCTTCTAATCTTCTCTACAATTTCCTATCATTTCTTTTCTCTGTTTAAGTTATAGTCCTGCGTGCCACTTTCCAATTTTAAAATCCATTTCATGTACTTTTTGTAAATATTCCCCACTTGATTACATCTTTTCTACCCCTCAAACGATAGCGCTTCTTACTGTTGTGCTGAATAAAATCATCGTGGAGAGACTAATAATTGTAGGGATATAACAGTAACGTTAACAGGGACGTGTAAATATAACGATTTATTAAAAGAAACAAGTTATAAAATGAATAAGATTAACTTAACAGAACATGGAAGCTTTACATGAATGAGCCAAGCCCTCACGACGTCTAACTTTTTCGAGGGTTATTCTTCGACTCCCGATTCCGTCCTTTTTAAAATTGTACAGTACCCAGTACTTCTTGACCGTTCCAGAGGTCTTTTTCTTTAAGCAACGGTAATAAACTTTATGACAGAGTTGTGTCCGAGGATCTGGCTGCTACATGTACATTTTCTTAAATATAAGTAAATAATTCTTATGACCATAACAACTTAAAATTTAAACATTAAGAACTAACTTATTATCACGTCTGCATACTACATAATAATGATGATAATGATCTTCTTTCGAGTTTCTCTGCAGTCTTATTAGAGAAAATGTGACAATGAAAATGTAACACCTTCTTAAACCAAATGGACCTTCTATCTCTAAATCAGTAAACATTTTTCGTCCCTCTAAAATCCGCTGCCACTAGGACCTGCCTTCTCTAGTCCGAAACCTATATGACCCATTGGGAAATCAAGTAGTGCCGTGGGCTATCAATTTACGTTCATATTCTAAATTTATCGTAAGGTACATAACACGAGAAAATGAGAGGGTCGTACTGTATAAACAAACAGATAGACAGACAAACAAACAGGCCGAAGTTACAAAGCCTTAAACTAAGTAAGTATTGTTAGCTATCGTTGAAATAATTTTGGTTCAATCTCTCGTAATTCTTTTTCTGATTATTTTGCGTGTTTACTGTATTAAAAAATAATTTCGTAAATATTTTGAGAGGAAATACAAATCAAATATTTCTTGTTTGTGAAATGGTTTCAACACAAATGGTTAAGAATTATCAGGTAATTGCTGATTTTATTAAAAAGCTTCTAATATAAATGGGTTATTGTACAGTTATCACATGGAAGAAGAATACTTCAAGGCAAAACCAACAATCGATCAAAATCAAGTCCAAGAAAAAATTTCATAAAGCCCTGTCGTCATTAATCTTTTGAGCTTCGCGTATTTAAAAAAAGAACAGCTGAACAAAATTGAGATTTCTGAACGTTATATATTTTTCATAATCATAAGGCACTTTTGTAGATATTGTCAAAAACAAGTGTAATATTAAGCTTCCTTAGATTTTGAAGTTAATAGCAGAAGAATACATCGTAAAGAAATCGAAACCACTGTACCATAAAAAGTTCGTGGCGGTCTCACCCCCATAAAAAGTTATGGGGGTTGAAAGATGATTATTTTGACAATTTTCATACACTATAATTCAAATAAAATTCAATAAAAAAATTATTTTCAAGCGGGTGGAGGTGGGGGATCGAAAGAGGGTGGTCACTTGAACAAAACCCAATAACCTAACCTAACCTACCCTATTGATAAAGATATTTAAATAATGTTTTATATAAATTTCTCAATATTTTTATGTATTTTTCATTAGTTTTACCTTTGAATATTGTTTAAGAATGACTATATAAATATTTACATGGTTAGAAATGTATAAAAATTGGCATATTTATTAACTTTGAACCCTCATAACATCTTAATGGGGGTGAAACTGCCATGAACTTTTTATGGTATAGTGGTGGGGGAGACCCCCTCTTTCGATCCCACCCATCCCCACTCCCAATAGGGGGCCATCATTACCTTTGATACAACTTTCAAAAACTTTTGTAATTTATTTTATTCACATAACAATTGAGTCGCCGAAACAAGAACTTCTTCAGACATGAGTATATGTATAGGTACAGCTAATATTACATTCGTTACCATTAGTTACCCTAAGAGAATAGCATGAGTCTGTCCGTCTGTTCATCTGTCAAATATTCCCAGAACCCATGCGAAGTAGAAACTTAAAATTAAGGACTTGAAAAAATGCTTTCTAATTTTGTATAACATCATTTAAAGGAAATAGGTACAAGCGCTTGTTGTGAGGATTTGAAATATATTATTCTCTTTATTCTAAATATTATAAGTATATCTCCCTAAAAATAAAGTTCATAAAAATCCAAAATCACAAATTGATACAACTTTCAAAGACATTTGTAATTTATTTTATTCATATAACAATTGCGTCGCCGAAACAAGAACAGCAAAAATTACATTCATTACCATTAGTTACTGATGTAGGTAGTTTTTTAGACCTGCGCCCTAAAACGTGTCTATACCGACCTCCATGGTTCTCGCCACCTTGAGTATTGAAAGTGCTTCGCTCTCTTTCGAGAATTTACTTCACTCTGGTTTCTTAATAAGGAGTAAAGACCCCCTCTCCTATTATAGTTGAACTTACAAAACATTTGCTTAAATAATCATCAATTCTCGCATGCCAATCTACCCGTTCTTTTTTTATTAATTCCAAATAAATATTATAGCACTTATCATATTCAAATTTGTTCCTCTCTGAATAATAAGAAACTAAATACAAAGAAATACAAAATAGTAGCTTGTCCTTATCGCCCCCTCCTCCTTTACAAAAATACTCTTTGTACAAGGTAACTCCATCCCTCTAACTCATTTTATCTTG